ATGGAGGCAAAAAGATCAGGTTCAGTGACATTGTTAAAATTCTAAAGTGAATTTTTATGACAAAAACTGCTTATCTTCACAATTGCCTTGAAAATCCCTTAGGAAGGCAACACACAGGACCCAGACATACTATTTCCGAATAGCCAGTTTTTCTTCCAGCTTTGGAAACAGACTGTCTTCTGTTAAACAACAAGGTTGTTGGCTGGCATCTGGGACCACGTCACAGGAAAAGCACAGGTCTTTAAATCCCAGGACCACAAGCAGTGAGACCGGGTGCCCCCAGACCCACTCAGGGATGGGCAGACCCATGCACCCATCTTATTCTCACTAGGGCACAGCAGCAGAAACAGGCTATGCAAATGGATACTTCTCCCTCCGGTGGTTTTTGAGATAGCACATACACCTTAGTTGGATTCGGGAGTGCTATATGTGCATATGAAGTGACTGGAGACCTCAGAAACACGGAGGAAGATGCTAGGCAAAGCAGAGCACGAAAAAAACCCCAGGAGACACTGACAATGCATTCAAAATTCCTTACTTTTACCTTGAGAGCATGGAAGTACAGTTACCCTCACTGTCCCAACGTTTACTAAAAAAAAAAAAAAAAAAAAAAAAAAAAAAAGAACCTGGACAGCTCTCAAGTGGAGGTTACTCCCAAGACGGAGCCTCCTCATTGTTACCCAATCTCCTCACATTTCAGCTCTGCAGCTACTCACCTGTATTCTGTGCCGCAACTGCTGAAACTTCCCTTTCACTTTAGTATTCAGTTCAGTAAGTGCACTTAATGGTCCTGAACAATCTCGAATATCCTAGGAGACACTGAAGAGGTGAGAGGGCCTTTCTCGAGGCAATGAAATGAAATGATACCATCTGTACAATGACAGATTTGGCTTAGACCACAACTAAGGCTGGCCTACTGACTATAATTCATCCTGATCTTTGCAGCTTACCTCTGCAACACAAGCAAAAACATTATCATTTACATTTCTCTCATACCTCTTTAAATTAATTTTGAGCATGTAATATAAAAGCATAAAAAGAAACACAACTGTCTTGACTTACTAGTTCCTAAAGTTTAACAAAACGCCACCTGGCCGGTATAAAAAGGCTTAAAGCAGCTTGTATGTCCAACAAGAATGGACATCCAAAAGTGACTTGAGATCTTTCCAACTTGAAAATCAGGATGCTCAATTCCTGGCATCATAGGACAAAGTTAACTTCAATCTGATTTTACAAACCATCTGTTATAAATCACCCTGTTTAACAGACATGTCCAAGGGTCGATTTAGAATTTGTTTCTGGACATTCAAAATTACTGGGGTCAGGTTTTAGAGCAGGCCCTAGAGCCAGAGTATGTGGATTCAAATTCTGGCGGTAGCAATTTATTGGCTGTGTAACAAAAAGTCACTTGAGTTCTCTGTGCCTCAGTTTCCTCATCACACTGCCTACCACATAGACCATATATGTATGTAAAGCACGTTGCAGAGGAGCTGGAACACAATAAGAGTGCAGTAAATCTAGATATAATCAATCTTTCTCATTAGCAGCCATGAGAACCCAAATATTAGAGAGTACAAAAGGGGGCTTAAGCAACTTAGATTACGTAAAAAGGCAATTTTATTTGTATGAATCCTAAATTTGTTTTTCTAGATTCATCCCAACAGTTTTGCAATGTGTATGGAGAAGAAGTGAAGTTGAAGAAGTTTAAATGCTTGCATCAAGTTTCCTTACTTGTTCTCTGGCTTACTTGCTAAATCACACCCCCTTGCACCACGAGAAGGCACTACTTTGGTTTATTCTGCATCTGGTTTCTATGGGAAGTCCTACTTTCCTTCACTTTTTGCCACAGCTAGTTGCAAACTCTGGGTCTACATCTAATGTCTAGTAACATTTGTTGGAAAGGGAAATGATTTGCCTAAAACCAAGATTTAAAACTCCTGGTTTCTTTTTGCTAAATTCAAGGAACCATTTCTACATTCCTAACTCTTGCCTATGTCAATTGGTTATTGCTCTGGGGCCTACTACCCTTAAATGGCTTAAGGCAAAGCATCTCAATTACCCAGTCTGTTAAAGGAAGTTGTAGACACTCCTTAAGTCCCTCTCTAGGCTGACTTTGCCCGTCAGGTCGCAGTTTTGCCACCATCTGCCCTCTGATTCAGGCCTTGGCACTTTACCCGATTTCCTCATTTACAAAGTCACAACTACAGTCTAAGTTAAGTTCATTTCACCGGGTGCCTCCCGTGTCAGGCGGCCTTTGGTACCACGGGACACTGCACCCAGCCCAGCTGGCCAGGAGGGGGCGGGGCTAATGCCCCCCAGGTCGCCACCAAATGGTGGGGAGGGCAGTGTCAGAAGGCGGGGCCCACCAGGGTGACAGGTATGTTGTGTGGCGGTCCCAGTCGAGAAGAGTGCGTGGGAGGGGCCAATGGGGGCCACAAAGGGGTAGCCTGGTCAGGGACCGGGGAACATGGGAGTGTCCAGAAGAGGGCAAGACGACAGCAAGTGGATGGAGGATTAGGGCCAACGGTCAAGGAAACGGGACCAAAGGGGGACCACAACGGGGCAGCCGGCCATGGGGCGGGACCAACGACCTCAGGGACTTGACCAAGTGGGGAAAGCTCGGGAGTGAGACCGCCAAGCTCACAAGGAGCCAGTGGAGCCTGGGTTTAAGGCTGCTGGAGCCCGGCAGGGGTCCCGGGAATTGTACCTGGATAAGTGCCTTCACCTCCAGGTCGAATTTGACAATCTCTTGGTTACAGATACGGACGTGGACATCTTGGGGAGCCGCCATGTTGAGGACGCCGGCTACGGGCAGCGGCGATGCCCAAATTTAAGCGCGTTTCCGCGTCGCGTTCCTTCTGCTCCCGGTCTTCCGCCAGCGCCCTCTAGAGACCGGCCTGAGGCGAGCGAGGGTAGAGGCGGCAAGTCCTAGGGACTTTTCCTGAAAACGCGGATGGACTCAGCCTCGCCTCTTGGTGTGATCCTAAGAAAACGAAGAAGAAAAAGAGAGGGAGTATCAAGGGCGTTTTTGCAGTGGCTTCTCCCCATCTTCTATCTAACGGCCATTCTAATGACTACATATTTTTTGCATAGAGGAAAAAAAAAAAGACTGGAAGGAAAGTATCAATTGGAATGTCTCTGGAAGGTGGAGTTAACAATTTTTTATATTTCTTTAAATTTTCTTATATTTTTCATATGTTGTACAGTGAATATAAACTGTGGAGCAAATGAAAAAATGAAAAATGTTATTACTACTTTTAATGTATGGAATTCGAGGCAGGTCTCTTAGAGCACCCCCTGTGGCCCAAGACTTCTAAAATCACAATTGATCAAGTCACCTCCCTGCCTACACCTCTTCTGTGGCTCCTGGCAATTTCCTTTTGTGTACAGTTGGATGTATTAAATCTACCTCGCTGGAGTAGTTTTGCTGGAAATAATTAAGAGCAGACCCTCAACAAATGGTGGCTGTTTTCTTTTTATTATTAAATAGTCAAAGTTTCTTAGCTGGTCTTCAAGGCCATCAGCCACCTCACCCTGTCCCTCTCCTGGATTCCTCAAGTTCTTTTTGGATCTGTAGCTTTGGAATGTGCTGTTCCCTTTTTTTAGAATGCTTCTCCGCTCTTGCTCCCACCCCATGTACTTTTGTTCACATCAGCAAGCATAAAGTATGAGGACCTGAATGCTTAGCTGTGTATCTCTTAACCCTTCAACCACACTTGAAATAGGCAATACCCCAGTTTTACAGATCAGTAGATGGACTAAGAGTAGATCAAAGCGAAACAAACCCAAATTGAACAACCCTGCCCCAAGGTTACCCAACTTGAAAGTGGCAGAGCCTTCACTGAAAGCCATGTCTTCCCTCAAAAACCAAATATGGCCCCTTGGGTAGTGCTGTACACTTGGGGCTATGTAGCTTGCCCATCTGTGTTTCTCCAGTGCTCCACACACTGCCCCTTAAGGTGTTCATCATCCCACTGCACCTAATAGGCAATGTACTGCAGGCTTGGGAGTTGACCCTGCTTGAATCCTGCGAGACAACCCACTTCACACCTCTGTGCCTCAGAATCCTGAGGCTAACTGGTGGTAACCACAGGGTTGACTGGAGGATTAAATGAGGTAGTACATGAAAAGCACCAAGCACAGTGCAGTAATGTAGCATGTGTTTAAGAACTCAATGGGCATTAGCTGCTAGGACATGACTGACATTTTTGGAGCACTTCCTACGTGCCCGGCACTCTGTACTAAGTTCTTAATGTGTGTCATCTAACTTGACTCTCACGACAACCCTATGAGGTAGAATTATCCACATTTTACACGTGAAAAAAACAGGCACAGAGAGAATGACTTGCCCAGTGCAAACGGAAGGGCTAGTCAAAGGATATGTGCATTTTTAAAATTTAGATACATACTACCAGATTGCTCTTCAGAGAGGTTATATGAATTTATACTCCTGCAGCAATGCGGTACAAATGCTTGCTTTCCCATGGCCTTCGCCAACGTGCTGTGTTAACAAATACTAGGACTTTTGCCAATTTGATTAAGTGAAAAATGCCATCTTTTAATTTGCATTTCTCTTATCATGAATGAGATTGAGTGCTATTTGTATTTACTTTGCTCATTTCTCTATTAGGTGGTGGTTCTTTATCATACCAGTTTCCAGGAGCTCTTTATATATGAGGAGGATTAGCCCTTAGAGATGAGCTTTTTGCATAGGCTATAGAATTTTGACTTCCCTTATGATGGTTTTGGCCTTTAAGTTTTTAATTTTTATTTCACATAGAATTTATCAATCTTCATTTATGACTCCTGGATTTGGGATCCAAGTTAGAAAACCCTCATTACCCTCACCCCACAGGTTTTAAAGGAATTGCCCACATTTCCTTCTGTTATTTGTTCATTTATACATTTTGAGATATATATTGGCTTATTGTATGAGATACAGAGCCAACTTTTCTTTCTCCAGAGTTTCCCAGTTGTTCCAATCCTGTTTTCTGAAGAATCCATCTTTTTCTCACTGGTTCTGGATGCTACATTTACCTTAATAAATTCTTATGTTTGAATCTATTTCTAGACCTTCCATTCTGTTCTATTGGCCTATTTATTTATGCACCAAAATGACAGTTTTATTTATAGTTTTATATGTTTGGATTAAATGCCTGATCTTTTCTTTTCCCCCAGCATCTTCCAGCTATTATTTTTTTCCCCTATGAACTTTTTTTTTTTAACCTCATTGGTATGTTTTGAGAGAGCATTACATTTTTAATTTAATTTTGAGGACTGACAACTTCATGTTGTTGGCTGCTCCGGTTCAAGAACTTGGGTCTTTCTTTCCATTTGTTCAAGTCTTCTTCTGTGTCCTTCATGTTATTTTAAAGTTTTCTTTATCTAGACCCTGTACATTTTAAGTTCATTCCTGGTGATGTTTTAAGACTAAAATCTTTTAAAGAAACTGACATCTTTCAGGTCACTCAAAAGTTTTGGATTCTCAGATAGAAGCTCCCTATTTAGGACACATGACCTTGGGCCCCTTTCACATCTGGCTTCTTGCTGGAAATTCCTATGTAACTGAGTATCCACACAGTCTTTCTGCAACAGTTGAAGAAAACATAGCTCCCTTTTTCTCCACCCTCCAGCATGCTCCCTTCTAACAAAGAGACCCAATTCTAGGCCCTTACGCTAGAGGCCATCTTTGAAGGATAGATGTACAATGCGGTGACCCACGCTCTCAATCACTGACTACTGCCAATGTTCTTTTCTTCTATCACCTTTACCCACAGATCCTGAGATTAGCTTTTGGTTACTACATCTGCTAGTTTTTGGCTTTAAATGTTTGTTTGTTTATATTTATTTATTTATTTGATAGAGACACAGCGAGAGAGGGAACACAAACAGGGTGAGTGGGAGAGGGAGAAGCAGGCTTCTTGCCAAGCAGGGAGCCCGATATGGGACTCAATCCCAGAACCCTGGGATCATGACCTGAGCCGAAGGCAGATGCTTAACGACTGAGCCACCCAGGCGCCCCATAGTTTTTGGCTTTAGTTCTGTTTTTCAGATTCTAAGCCCATTATCTCCCTCCTACACAGATATCCATTCAAATATTGCCTGTGACCTGGCCTGGTCCTTTAGGAGTATGAATTGTCTCTGAGTGCAGTAGCAGACTGGAGTTTGAATTGGCGGTATCATATAAGCTGGGTCTGAAGTGAGTCCCCTTATCTGAGTCTATTCTCTTTTGTAAAATGGACATGACCACCCACCTCACTGCACCACTGAGAGCTGAGTTACTTGAAAGGAAAGCACTAGCAGGGGTTTAATGAATGCCAGCCACCCCAGCCTTCTAGACTTCCTAATACCCTTTTCTTATTCTAAACCTTTCAGCTGGGATATTAAAGCATTTCCCAACTTTATATCTTTCTGGCTAAAGAGCTCTCCTGGTTCTGAACCACTGTGGGTGAGGAAAGGCAACTGAATGACCCATTTAACTAGGTGCTACCCACAAAATGTTGTTTCCTAAGGACTATACCGACCTGGCTCACCCAGCTCCTTAAAAGTTCCCAGACCATGATGGAGGCTCCTGTGAGGGGTGGTTTGGATGGAGGTCAAGTCCATGAGAGGCTATCTCCACTTCAGCCCCAATGTCACTCAAATGAAGCAAAAATAACTTCAAGAATCCTGGGATGTCATGAACACAAGCCTGTCGATTCTTCTCTAGCATACCCTACTGGATGTGGTACTTGTGTCCTTGCAAGTATCTCAGTAATAATGTACCCAGAACCCTTTGCATGTCTAACAGCTCAGGTCTTATTCACATGCTGCCTCCCCTCAGCAAACTCTGAGTTCCTGGATTATCTCTCTACCTAGCACAAGTCTTGGCAAAATATATGCTAAACAAATGTTTAGCATTTGAAGGAACACACTGCTTCAGTGGTGTTCACTCAGGTCCCCTGAAGTAAGACTTTATGTATATGGGGGCACCTGGGTGGCTCTGTTGGTTAAGCGTCTGCCTTCGGCTCAGGTCATGATCCCAGGGTCCTGGGCTCCCTGCTCAGCAGGGGAGTGCATCGCCCTCTGCCCCTCCCCCTGCTAGTGCTCTCTCTCTCTCTCAAATAAAATCTTAAAAAAAAAAAATTGTGTATATGTCCAGCCTATCTCAGAGACTTGCTTTGAATTATTAAACACATACAAATGTTTAAGTCAGGAGAGACTCAAAACAGTTTATTTCCCTTGCTTAACCAAAGAATCAAAGAGGAAAAAATATGTGTAAACTAAACTTTGCTCCAAACTATGAAGAATGCAAATGTTTTCATCAATAAATAATTCTCCATAATACTACCTTTCACTAGAGTACTGAAAAATCAGCCCAAAGTGTCCAAAACGTTAGCTCTTTATGTCCTGCACCAAGAGGGGGGCAGCACAATTCACGGTTCACAGCTGTCTTTAGCCTGGAATTTCTTTGCAGTGGGTTATCTTGCAGAGGCGCAGATGGTTACCTTGGTAAGCAAAAGAAAAGCAACAGAGAAGGGGCGAAAACATGAGGCAAACAATTCAAAACCTTTTCATCTTTTTTTATTTTAAATTACAAAGGATGTTGCATACACTGATGAATCTGTATCTGACTAGAAGTGCTGAGGGGTTGGAAGGTGACAGAAAACAAAGGCAACATTTGAATTGCCTTTTCTTCTGAAAAGAAAAACTGCACAACTATTAACCAACATTTAATAGAATAATTTTTAAACAGCTCATGCGTCAACAAGATAAAATTCTTTCTAGACAAAAGACAAGACTGAATCCAATAAAAAGTTTCATAGCTCCAGTTGGGGGAATGGGGAAACAAAACTACAGAATATTTATGATAGCATTACAAACAGGATCCTACGCCACTATGCCAAAGAGGTTGCCACATCGTATGAACAAATGCTCTGAATTCTTGCCCTTCCGCTCTTCTCTTGTGACTTCTTATGTGCGGTCAGCCCTAGTATCACTGTTAATCACAAATGCTAAGTTATAGGACAAATCCCAGGGGAAGAAGGTAAAAAAAAAAAAAAGCAGGCAGTGGAATACAGTGTCATAAAAATGTGGTGGAAAGGCAGATACAGTACACACATACACATTTCTGTTATTTGGTTCCGAAAAAAACAAAGGGCGAAGGGCAAGACACAGTAATCAGTCCCGCTCCCATCCACCCAGAATTTAATTAACTACACCATTGTGTTTACATTGTTATGAAAGAGGCAAACCTAGTTCACCCAAACTTGGCACACTGAAATACCCAACTCTGATGTTCTTCTCTAGTCACCAAGTCTTCAATTCCAAAATACTATTTGGAAGTAGTTTTAAGGTTCTACTCCCTCACTACTACACCCTAACCTCTCTTTTCTAAAGAAAAATGGCAATTTGGCATAATTCAGTTCCTAGGTGTAATTTCTACAATTTTCGGTCAGTTTACTAAGCATGAGGATTATGCTTCAACACATAATCCCACTTGCCTATGGAAGTGTAAAACTGTCAGTAGTACATTTTCATCATCTTTCCCCAACATGCTTATTCCTTAAAACGAAACAACCATTCCTACAGTTGACATTCATTGTTACATCCCAATGTGTTTGAAATATTAAAAAAACATGGAGTCATCTTCTCATAATGCCCTTATTAAGATTACAAAGATTACAAAAGAATCCACAAGTATTACGGCACTGTGTGAGACTTATTTGTCATGATCCAAGGGAAGAACAAGACTGCAATTCTGTGCAAAGTTGTGGAAATGGCCTCAGTTCCATGGGAAATGGTATTCCACAATAGACTTCACTAGAAGGATAATTGAAACCTTTTACTTTAACACTGAAAGCATAATTCAATGCATTCTCAAAATTCAAGTTTCAAGATTTGGAGAGATGCTAACATTCTCTTACATAATTAATTAGAAAATACTTGAACAGAATTGTAGGAAGACTATATAAAGAAAGGGAACATAAGCTTTTGTTAATTCCTGCTGAAGGCAACTTGAATTTCTTAGAAAGTTAACTAAATCTTAGCAGCTAAAATATTTTTAAATGTATGGAATAAAGAAAAGCACATCCATTCTTGACATTTTGGTGAATAAACTAACAGCTTTATTAATGAAGGCAAACATCAGATAATTGTATGAATATTATATATAAAAAAAAGAAATCCAAACTAACAGCATTGTATTTCAAAAGTACTGTACTTCTGTTTCTTTTAAAGAGACTTGTCATCTGTTTTATAAAACAAACAAAACGAGTATTCTTCTCCTAAAAAATTCTGGAAAGATGAAATAGTCAATTTCAAGCTGATGAACTGAACACACCTTTCTTTAAATGCAGACTATTGCTAAGGAGCAAATCAAGTCAAGCATCAGAAAGAAGATGTAGGACAAATTCATGAAAGTCAGAAACAAGGGATGTAGTGAAATTACTGCTAGTCTTTCCCTCTCATATTTAAAGACCATTCAAAACTGGTCTTTCATACAAATATAAAATAACTATAAAGAGAGGGAATTGGAAACCATACCCATCTGAAATCCTTCATGATGTTTTTATAATTGCTCTGATTCTCTTACCAAAAAGGTCAAAGTGAAAGATTTAGGAGTGGAAGGGAATGAAGACGTTAAGTTTAAATGTACAAGTAAGGCACAATATAAAGCCACATCATAATCTGTCATGAAGGATATAGGAAAGGACAAGAATCATACATGGTACAGTAGAACAAGCCATCATATTGACTGAAAAAGTGTGGCACCCAATTCAAAACTCAGACAAGATCTTAACAAGAACAACTGGACAGCATGCTTTCATATGGAGACAAACTCTATAAAGAATCCAGTGTATCTGAAACAAGGAAGAACGTTTTTTGTATTTTTTTTAAATCATAGTAGTACTAGAGTCAAAGTTTATAATTGCTTTTGGAACAATGGGTTTATTTGAGGTGAATTCACAATGCCTTCACTTAAAGTAAGATTCTGGACTTCATTATGAGCTATCTGTATACCATGTATGAACACAGAAAACCTTTAGAGAGCTCTTCTCTAATGATCTTCACCCAAAAATACATGCCACAATTTTCAAAAACAGAACATGTACAATTGTTGGGGTTTTTACGTTACCCTTATAAGATTTGTTTGTGTGATACACTAAACGTATATATTTTAATGACAATAGAGGAAGCAGATTATTACTGGCATTAAAGTACAACCATTTCTAGACGGTTTTAAATGCCACAGAGTCCCCTGGTTAAAATGTAAAGCTGCACAGCTTGCCTATGTCATCTTTATGATAAAGTTAAAACAGCAAGAGGATTTAACTTTCACTCTACATTTTACTGCCAGGTTTTTATTTAGATCAAGTATCGCTGCAGCATTCTGACCAGCCCAGATTTAGCAGCAAATGGCAGGAATCATATAAAATGCAATTTTTTTTTAACAAAGTGCTTTTCTAAGATATACATACATATATAAATAGGTACAAAATAAAGTGTCAACATTAAAAAGCTCAACTATTTAAAAGCTTTTAACTATTTAACTTAAGTAGTACATATAAAACACTGAAATGCAAGGATATGGAATCTACTAAACAGATTCAAAGTCTTTTTTTTTTCTTTTTTTGAAATGCAAGACCAAAAAATCAAATTCTGGTTTGCAGATAGGAAAAAAGTATCAAAAACCAGAATTCCGAACAGAGCAGCTAGAAAGGGGCAATTTTATAAACCTCATCAGCTGAATCTCTATCATGAAGTGATTTTCACCTGATTGCAAAACTGCCACATTTTGGAACATGTTTCAATTTACTAAACACACTCTGCCAAAACTTCATATACTTCTAAGTTATAAGCCTGTGCTTTGCCTTCTCCCATCTAAAAAGGAAAAACTTTAAACAACGAGCTTACATTCTTTTAAACCATTAGCTCTGAGCTTATCATCTGTTTAGCATGAATGCACTAAAACCAGGTGTGTTTCCACCAAGCACACAGGAAAATCTTGTGCATCACAGTTCAGCTAAGGTGTTAAGACAATCCTTCTAGGAGTTTCCTTTTCATGATGTCAAAGAAGCATATAAGCAACATTGTTCAGTTGTTACTGTGTGTTTTAGAATCAAACTTTATAAGCTATAGCTTCAGATGCTATGGCTTACAAGTGGGGGGGGGTGGGAGGGAAAGGGGATAAAGTAGAAGAAAAAGAAACACACTATTAGGACAAAATATAATTAAGGAATAAATTCTCCAGGGGGTAATGGAGAAACAGTTGGAGAAATAGATAATTTCCCAGCAGCTAGATCTGAAATTTTTGGTATTTTTTTCTGGCTAGATAGGATCTTCTTAAAAGTATAGTTTTTATGCCACCAGTTTTCAGAGTTCAAAACACAAGATTTGAGAATCAAACAGTAAGAGAGACAGAATGGAAAGATCTGTGGGGAAGGTTTATAATGCTGCCTTGACACAAGAAATTTCTCATCAAGAGGTAAAGCTTTAACACAGTTAAAACACTGACTAATGAAGCTGTTCTATGTGAGCAAAAAAGAGCACCTAAAAACTAAATGTGTTAATATTTCTCAGTTCTAGAAACTATAGAAGAAGTCACATGTAAGTCTGAAGAAGCTAGTTTGAAAATACCTGTACAAAAATATAAAAATCTATAAATTGTTTTTTTTGTTTTAAGCTTGTGTTGATCTTTGAAAATATTACATGCACAATAATACATCAATTGGAAAAGTGGCAACTAAAGAATTAGATATTTTTAGCTTTTTTCTTTCTTTACATATATATATATACATAATACAATAAAAATAATCTGTATTTTGGTTGTTTGGTGGAAGTATACTACAATAAGCTAAATAAACTTTTTAATTTTCAAGGTCAAAAACTATTTTACCAATAGCTTACTAAAATGAAATATATTAAAATTTCCTACAACAAGTGCAGAAATAAAAAGACTTACAGACATCTAAATGGCCACCAACTTATCTACTATGGAAGCGAACTAGAGGAACAGCAAAATAATATTTGTGTGTGTGGATGCTCCTTCTGTAGATAATTGGACCCAAACAGAAATAAAATTCACAGTTCAGTAAGATCCCTAACCCTGACCTTTTCGTTTTTCTTTTTTTTTTCTCCTTTTTTTTCATACATTCATACAGTATCATGTAAGCTGTGCAAAACTTTACTTAGACTGGCAGTTTGCCATATCAGTTGCATTTGTCTTTGGTACAAAAAATAAAACAATCGCAATAATGTGCAAGTATTTGTCTTCTTCCGGTCAAGTACCGAAATAGGAGTTTTCTAGAGCCATCTTTTTTTTGTTTGTTTTTTGTTTTGTTTTTTATACAATACACAGACTCTGTGGCATATATCTACATTTCAACATAGTCCTATATACATTCAAAAAATTTGAAAAAGAGTTGGAACAAAAAAACATTTAAACCCCATAATTTTTCCATCTATATATCTTGTGTTTCCTCATTAGGGTTTTCATCATACAAAATATTACCAGTTTTATAGTTTCCCCAAAATACAAGGCACAAAGAATATGCTTTTTTTTCTTACTTGCACAGACATTATATATATATTTATATATATATTTATATATACCATATTGAGCTCGGAAAATGAACTTCTAATATGGCACATGGGCATGAGTGCTGGGTTGTGCCATGTACAAGTGAGATTAATGGTTGTGGAAAATTAGAACAAAAGGAATAATTCTAAAAACAATCTAAACTGACTGTTTAAAAAAATGCTTCCTCAATTTTTTGTGTGTGGTTCAGAGCATAAACCTGCCACAATATTTGGCATTTACTAATTTCGCTCCTCCCAAATGTTTTACTTTTAACAGATTTTTGCAATCTGTATCTGAACATTTACTTAAATGTGTGAGTTTCAATTCTGATGCCAGTAGCAGTTTTAACCATGGTTTATGCTCTGAAAATGCAATAATCAAGTATTTTGGATCATGCTTCACTTATGCTACTTAGTTCTTAAAACAATGTAACCTAATCGTAAATGTTTACATAATGCTAAACTGACATGCAAAACAGAATGAAAATTTACAATGAATAACGCGACAAACACAGACATTTCTGACCAGTGGTCCAATGAAGCTGATTACACTTTTGATGTTGGTATCCTTAGTCCTACAAGGCCTCCAGTGGGATTGCCTTCTGCAGTCTTCTCTAACACTTGGTTAACAAATTCTGAGGTTTGTCCAGCAACTGGGAGACCTGAGGAAAAAGAAATAAGGCACACTTAGGCACAGAAATGGAGAAGGCATAAAAGGAAGGTGAGGAGTAGGCAGATCTGAGGGTCAGGGGTGGCCTCCTGCTTGATACTGGTCCCAGCCAAGTACTCAGCTGCTTACTACTGCAATCCAGAAATTAATTCTACTCATCAGATTAGAGCTTACAATTTTTAAATTAGAAAGATCAAACCAAGAATAAAGAATGGTTAATCAACATTTTAAAGTGTGGTAGATGACAAGTAGCAATAGTCCAAATAATAGTCCAAACCCAAACCCCACACCTGTCAACAAGCATTGTTACCAAACTGACCATGTTTGCCGTTTTCCCAGCCAGTCTCTTCCAACTGCTCTAGCCACAGTGCGTCCCATGGGTGGGCTTTACCCACACAACTGAAAACACTGACCTGAAGGATGTTTTCAGTCATTTTTATAACTACTGTATTAAGTTTATGTTTCCTTTTCTTCATTTTAAAGAAAAGTGAATGAATAAACAAAGTTAGAAGAGAAGAGGAAAAAAGGTGGGAAGTAGTATAATTTGAATTTGTCATCTTCCTCATCTTCTACAGCTGAGGTCAAAAGATACTTCAAATCAGTAAGTCAAATAACAGAAGTATAAGCATGTTTTAAAAGTAATGAGAAAATAAATGATTAAAATGAGATGGAAATAGAAAAATATCTAGTCATTGCCCATAGGAAGAAGTCAAAAGATACTGTAACAAACACAGAACTGATGCTACCTCAGCCATGTGATTAAATGTAGCATGACCAATAATGAGACAAACTGATAATATGTACCTCTTGAGTGATGGAATGAGAAGGATAATCACCTATGATGATTCTTGCCAAGAAAATTTAACTGCATCTAGTCAGGAGGAAACAGACGTCTAACTCCAGATGTTGGGACATTTTATAAGATCAACTACCTGAATTTTTCATGGAAAAAAAAAAAGGCTGGTAGACTAATCTAGATTAAAGGGGGCAAAAAGATATAAATAAATGCAATGCATGATTTTTAACAAACACACAAAAAGGCTATAAAGGACATTATTAAGACAACTGGGGAAGTTTAAATATGGACTCCATATAGATATTATAATAGTGTTGAAGTACTTGGGTGTGATACTGGTATTGTGCCTAAGTAAGAAAATGTCCTTGTTCTTGAGAAACATGCTGAAGTAGTTAGGGATGAAGGATTTGTTTAGAAGTTACCTTCAAATACTCAGGAATAAAAATATGTAGATACAGACAAAAATAAAGCAAATGCAGCAAAATATTAACAACTGGTGAATCTAGTTGAATGATAAGCAGATGTTCATGTACCATTTCGATTTTTCTTATAGGATTGAAATCTTAAATGAAAAGTTAAGGGAAAAAAATTAAACATGTTATGTTCTAGTTAAAAATTCAACTGACAAGTAAAAAATGAAGAGCTTACAAATTATCACAGAACACATACAAAACTGCAACTATAATAATGGATCATACAATGAGTGATATAAAAAGGAAAAAGCCACATGAACAAAGCCTAACATCTTCTGATGACAAAACTAAAATCAGACATGTATCAATAAATAAAAAATGACCTAAACTCACCTATTAAAGAAAAACTCGTCTGTCTGACTAATAAAATCCAAGTTTATGCTATGTATAAAAATCTAAAAGTTAATTTTATGCGCTACTTATCAAAATTAAATTTTAACTTAAATGTTTTTAAAAGAGATGTATCTAGTATAAAGTGATTCAGAAAGACTGAAAATGAAAGGGTAGGCACAGGTATACTCAGCAAGTATAAATAAGAAAGCTGCGTTCATGACTGCAGTACCAGACAGGACTGAATCAGAGAAAGTCACAAAGAAGACCGAAGAAGTATGCTTCACAATGATAAAGACTTTGATCCGTAATGAAGATCTAGCAGTAAGGAATCCTATTCAAGCCCTCCAGCATTCAAGCAAAACCACGGAAAATACGAGAAAAAATTGAAACACATTAGCAGGGACTTTCTCAGTTTTACAAAGAGTAAATGGACATCTTCTCCAAAAATAAAAAGGAAAAAAATACCTAATTAATATTACCTAATCAACATACAATGGAGTCTTAACATAAAACAGAAAATATATCTACTTTTCAATGTCCACAGAACATTTAATTAGGCTGTAATAAACATAACAAATGTAAATAAATGTAACCATGTTGGGTCGCTAAAAAAAAATCTTTTTTAAGATTTTATTTATTTGACAGAGAAAGACACAGCAAGAGAGGGAACACAAGCAGGGGGAGTGGGAGACGGAGAAGCCGGCCTCCCGTGGAGCAGGGAGCCTGATGCGGGGCTCGATCCCAGGACCCTGGGATCATGACCCGAGCTGAAGGCAAACGCCCAACGACTGAGCCGCCCAGGCACCCCGGGTTGCTAAAAAAAAAAAAAATCTTAATAAATCACAAAAAAAGGAGAAGTTAATAACAAAACTAGAAAATAATAATGTCTACCTTCTGGAAAATTTTAAATCTCTCTCAAACAATTCTTGGGCCAGAGAGTAAATCAAACCTAAAATTTCAAAGTATTCAGAAAACAAGTAAGACATATCAGAATTTATGACATATAGCTAAAGCAGTTCTCAGGAGAAATTTCAAAGGTTTTTAATTACATTAATGAACAAGAAAAAATAAAAAAAGAAGTGAACTAAGCATCTAACTGAAGAAATTAGAAGAACTGATGAATTCAAGAGCTGGTTCTTTGGGGGAAAGTAGAACCACCTATAATTAACCAATGCAAGAAGTGAAGGCAAACACAGTAGACATAAAGTAAGAAATGTAAATGAAGCACTAACCACTGATACAGAGGCTATTAAAAAAACAAAGACAATTTTAATAAATTTGAGGGCATGGAGGAAGTGGATAATTTTCTAGGAATATACAAATCAAACTGACTCCAAAAGAGCTTGTAATCTGACATACAAATTATCATAGAGGACCCAGAGAAAGTTTTCAAAGAGTTAATCACAAAAACACACTGGACGAGATAGTTTCAAAGAGCGTTCTATCAAATCTTTAAGAAAAAGAAACTCCAATTTATTTAAAGTCCTCCAGAAAGGAATTCTGGAAAGATTATTGTTTGGCAGCATAGATTTTTAATCTCCTCAATGCCCCATATAAAAACAGACATTAAATAGAAAAACCATAAACCCATGGAAACCATTAACAAATGACAACGTATCTCCACAAACTCCAAAATTCAAAAGGGTGGAACTACCAAAAGCTACAAGACCCGTATGGCATTAACATTACCAATATTTGTGCAGGATGAGTCAAGGGGATTAATGTACCTGAGAACAAAAGAAGTCAAGAACAGCCAACAGGTTACTCACTGGAAGCCCCAGGAGACCAACCTGAGAACAGCTGAAGGTGAATGTGAGAAGCCCACAGTAAGATGTTGAGGGGCTAGAGCATTCTAGCTCTGTGAACTAAAAACTGACCAACCAGGACTCCCTTGCAGGACAGGAGGCAGGACTGGTAAGAATCAAAACTGGGCAAGATAGGAACAACAGATATGAAAGAAAGATGGTCCAGATAAAATGGGAGAGGAGCACAGACCAAGAAATTTCAGAAAGCAAGCTGCCATGTGCACCTGCCTGCCCCAAGTTCCTCTTCTTGACTGTGGGCTAGTGACATACAAATGTACCAAAGAAATCCCCTCACACCTTCTGCTTTGGAGCATCACCACTAACTCCAATAAAGGCACTTGTCCACAGGTACCTTTGTTTTTCTCCCACTCGCTCTCTCTGTCCCCTCCCTAACTTGCTTTGTTGAACCCTCTCCCTTATTGCTCCCTCCATGTGGCTCCCTTGTGGCATGTGGTGACTCTGTTTCTCTAGGGTAAACTTTCTTCCTGCTCCTCTCCTGTGTCCCTTTCTCAGGCTGGATTGAATGACCATCTCATAAATAAATACAAAACATAGTTTTAGGGTCCTCTGTTTTCAGTTAATACAAAACATAGTTTTGACTCTAAAATTTGAAGTTAGGAAAGCAATCCTGAACTAAACTTTCTTTTCAAGGTTTAGAAAAAACAGTTTTACATGTATTAAAGTCAAAAATCCCATGAAGTTATTGTAAGTGGGGGTGCCTGGATGGCTCAGTCGATTAAGCATCTACCTTCAGCTCTGGTCATGATCTCAGAGTCCTGGGAGCCCGTGCTGGGTTCCCTGCTCAGCAGGGAGTCTGCTTCTCCCTCTCCCTCTGCCCACACCCTGCTCGTGTTCTCTCTTTCGAATGGATAAAAAAAGTTATTGTAAGATAAAAGAGAAGATTCCTACAAACAATGAAAGTGTGCCTGAAAGATATGACCACAAATGACCATATCCTACTATTATTATCTTAAATGGTCACAACCCACTATTATTTCAAAATGAATTCAATGATTTTCAAAATGAACAAAAAGACATTAAAGAAAATGTTACATGAAAGAACAAAAATCAGAAATAGAAAAACTCAGAAAAGAATTGGAAGAAAAAATTAATTCCTGAAATTAAGACAAAACTAAAAGAAAATGGCAACCTATGGAATGGGAGAAGATATTTGCAAATATCTTATCAGATAAAGGGCTAGTATCCAAAATCTGTAAAGAATTTATCACACTCAACACCCAAAAAACAACCCAGTCAAGAAATGGGCAGAAGACATGAACAGACATTTCTCCAAAGAAGACGTACAAATGGCCAACAAACACATGAAAAAATGCTCAACATCACTTGGCATCAGGGAACTACAAATCAAAACCACAATTAAGATATCACTTCACACTGGTCAAAATGGCTAAAATGAACAACTCAGGAAACAACAGATGTTGGTGAGGATGTAGAGGGGAACCCTCTTACACTGTTGGTGGGAATGCAAAATGGTGCAGCCACTCTGGAAAACAGCATGGAGGTTCTTCAGAAAGTTAAAAATAGAGCTATGCTACCACTCAGCAATTGCACTACTGGGTATTTATCCAAAGGATACACACATAGTGATTCCAAGTGGCACATACACCCCAATGTTTATAGCAGCCATGTCCATAATAGCCAAAATATGGAAAGAGCCCAGATGTCCATCGACAGATGAACAGATAAAGAAGATGTCTGTGTGTGTGTGTGTGTGTGTGTGTGTGTGTTATACCCACACACATATACACAATGGAATATTACTCAGCCATCAAAAAGAATGAAATCTTGCCATTTGCAACAACATAGCTGGAACTAGAGGGTATTATGCTAAGCGAAATGTCAGTCAGAGAAAGACAAATACCATATGATTTCAACTCATATGTGGAATTTAAGAAACAAAACAGATGAACATAGTGGAAGGGAAGAAAAAAAAATAAGATGAAAATAGAGAGGGAGGCAAACCATAAGAGACGCTGAACTCTAGGAAACAAAGTGAGGGTTGCTGGAGGGGAGGTGGGTGGGGGGATGGGGTAATTGGGTGATGGGCATTAAGAAGGACACTTGATGCATCAGTTCTATCACTAAATCCTATGCCTGAAACTGATAATACAGTATATGTTAACTAAATTGCATTTAAATAAGAATTTAAAAAAAAGACAAAACGAAAAGAACTATAAGAGCAGCAAATAAACACAACAATAATGCTTTTAAAAGAAACGGAGGTGCAGGGCGCCTGGGTGGCTCAGTCGTTAAGCATCTGCCTTCAGCTCAGGTCATGATCCCGGGGTCTTGGGATCGAGTCCCACATCGGGCTCCCTGCTCGGCGGGAAGCCTGCTTCTCCCTCTCCCACTCCCCCTGTTTGTGTTCCCTCTCTCGCTGTGTTTCTCTGTCAAATAAATACATAAAATCTTTAAAAAAATAAAATGAAAGAAAAAGGAAATTAAGAGATAAAAAGGTTGATCAAAAGTGAATTTACCTCAGAAAATACTAAAGATAGGCAAAGAAGATCCAACCCACAAATAGTAAGTCCCTGAACAACAGCAACAACAAAAAACAAAGCAAGGGGGCGCCTTGGTAGGTCAGTCAGTTAAACGTCCGACTCTTGATCTCAGCTCAGGTCTTGATCTCAGGGTCGTGAGTTCAAGCCCTGCATTGGGGTCCATGCCCAGCTTAAAAAAACAAAACCAAAGCAAAGAAACAGGTCAAATACTAAAAATATCTGAACTACATACCGAAAGAGCAAAGTGCACACATGAGACTTTCAACCTAAAATGACCAAACCCAAGACAAAGTTTAGTGAAATTACTGGGAATTAAAGAAAAAGAAAAAATCCTGTTGACACTGACAAAAACAGCAAATGAGTTATAAGGCAAAAAAGTTAGGCAACTATTAGCTTTTTTTGGTGGGGGCAATTATTAGCTTTTTAATAGCAACACTTTATGCCAAAAGAAAAATGGAGAAACATATTTAAAGTAAGGAAAGAAAATGTGAGTCAAGGATTTTGGATCTGGTAAAACTGACTTTTTGGATGTAAAGAGAATATACAAACTTATCAAATTACAAGGTCTTTACATTTAAAATTGAAAAGGTAAAAAGAATCTACTTGTAGTGTTAAGTTCCTCCCTCTACCTAATAAAGGAACTGAAAATGATTTTAAAGAACATGAAAGACAGAAATACACTGAAAAAAATACAATATTAAAATAGCATCAATCCATTTGAAGAAAAAGTCAAGCAAATTCACCAGGACTTCCCATATTTGGGTACTGAATTAATCTATGTAGAGGTAAAAAGTAACTGGTTGTTTAGGAAAAGTATTGATATTTAGGAACTACTCTTTGACTAAGATTTTTCTCCATATAAATACAGTTTTGTTCAAAATAGACTTTTGACCTTGCATAGTGTTAATTTTTTGTATAAATATACTGTCCTTAGTTTTGTTTCACTTTGTATGTACTCTATTTTGATATATATTTACAACTCTACTTTTGAAAAAGTTATTCTGTATATATAATAATTGCATATTCAATTCATTTTAGTATTCTATGAACTTACCTGGTCACTATTTGTAAGTCATTTCCCAACGCTTAGCAAAAAGAATTAACTACTGATAAGAAATAATCACTGAAATACCATACCATTTGGAATACTAAAATAGAAAAATTGTATCTATTTTGTTAGTCAATTATATCACAAATAATCAAGTTAATACTATGTTGTGAACATACAACTTAAGCATTTGAGTAATTTTAATTGGCTTTGTCATGAACAAAAATCTTCAATTTTCTAAAATATGAATGATGGATTACAGGAACAAGGTGGAAATAAGACTTTAAAAAAAATCTAAATGGTGAAGATGTAATATGGTAACATCTACAACTAGTATTTATTGAGTATTGAGGAATTTATGTGCTCAGCAGGGTGCTAAGTGCTTTATATGCACTCTTCCCATTTAATACACCCACTGTCCATATTTTACAGATGAGTAAAATTAGGTTGAGAGAAGTGAAGTCATTTCCCTAGTGTCCTCATGTAGTTAAGTGGCAGGGGGCCAGGAGTTCAATCTAAAACGGATTTCAAATACTCTGATTTTAACCACTATAATAAACAAGCTTTTGTTTTTTGAAAACATGATTTTAATTTTTAGACCAGTGGCTATTGCTAGAGCCACAGAGAAACCTAGCCTTTTTTTTGGTAAAAAGATAGGAAACAAGGCATGCAGATCTAAGGTACCTTAAAATAAAGAGAATGTTTCAAGGATGAAGATAAATGCTCAAAAGTGTCAAATGTTACAAATAATGTCGAGAAAAGGAAATTCTCAAGTAAGCCTACTGGATGAAGCGATTAGCGGGCCACATGTGAACTACTCAGGTCAAATACCACAGAGATGGGTGTTAGATGATAGGGCTAAGTGATGTGGGGGTACTGTGAGCACGGGAACTCAAAGAACTTACTTCTATGCCTGGTTCGGCCATTTATTGATTGTATGACTTATGGCAAGTTACTTTAATACCTTGCTGTGTTTCTAATTCCTCATTTGTAAAATCAAAATAATACCTCCTTCACAGAACTGTGAAAGTAGATAACTAACCAACCTTAACAGACAGGTACTGGATCACAGTAAGTACCCATAAATGTTAGCTGTTTATCCCTTCCTAACACCTAAGGAATCCTTTCCAGGCTTTTGATCTCTCCTTTAAATCTTCTCCTTTTGGCCTTCAAACATGAATGTTGTCAAGTCATGAAACTGTTTTGTCAAAATCTATGTGCATTGCTAATTTTATTAATGATTCCAAATTGCCGTTCAAAAACACTAGAATATTTCACATCCGGTATAAACACAATGCTGACAAGAGAAACTAGTAATTGCAAAGACATGAGAAACTTACTAAGTGCATGGAAGCATTCAATGTGTATTTATCTTTAATTAAAGAAAATGCAATCATTTTGGTAGCTGTGAGAAGTATTTCTCTGTAAACAGAAATAAACTGTTGCTCACTCTACTCCATCTAAACATCTTGATTTCCTCACAGCAATTGCCAGTTTGTTATTCTTTCCCGTTTATTCTTTGTCTTCCATTTTTAGACTACAAGCTTCCTAAGAGTAGTGACCAAATCTCTATTATTCATCCCTGTATCCCCCAACACCTGGCATATAGTAAGCATTGAAGAAACTTTGATGAATGAATTTATAGTAACTGGAAGTAAGAAAAATTGTCTTAACAGAAATGCAAAAAAATTCCAAGATATTTACAATTTTAAAAAATTAGAACAATTTATAGTGTTTGTTACCTTAAAATTCAGGTAAGTAACTAAATAATTATTTAAAAAGTAAGCTCTAATTCCTTTAAGTGACCTGATTCAATACACAGCATCCTGGGGAAAAATGAACTGGAAGAAAATTCTCAGGTAACCGAAGTATGCCACTCTACATAATGACTACATAAGAACCAGTTTTTAAAGACAGTCCTAGAATAAATATTGCGAAACAAAGAATATATAAAACAGCCAAGCCAATTTTATGAGCTTCAGGGTTTTGATGGATTGCACTATGCTGTAATGTCCTTGGGATGCTACTCATCTGTAAGGCGATCTGCTCTTATGGCAGCTAAGCTCTTACACCTCCAGAGTTCTCATGTCTACCTTAGCTACCTCTCTGCTCCCTGTCACGTAGTGCTCTGCCTCTCTTCCTCCCCATGATATATATTCTGTTCAGGGAAAAAAGATAATTAAGTTTATTAGAATCCTGTGAACTGTATTACTGAGTAAAACATATACGTAAGAACCTCTACCAAAGTATAAATTGCAGGCTTGACAGTTGAATCTTTATTTTTCCCATTAAAGGTTAAAGTTGCTAGAAGTTCATCTTTCCTAAGCAGTAAAACAGTTCAGTGATGAAGTCTAAATAACAAATTGTGGTAACCAGCAATACATGTTTATGAATGCAAAATCTCAAAAGACAAAACAACTTGGAAAGAAGAGTAACTACAATAAGAACATTTGAGTTTTTCCTTAAAAGAATGTTTACTATCTCCTTAAATCATATATCTTACACTACACGTTACTGTCATGAATTTATCCAATATTCTTCTTACCAAGAGTATCTTTAATGAGCATTTCAAGCTTCTGCCCCATATTGGGTCCTCTCTCCTCTCTTGGATTCTGTACTCGGTTTACAATCTCTTGCTTGATGGAGTTGATTACAAACAATAAATTATCTGGAAGACAGAACAAGATACTTGGAACATGTCACTAACAGGGAAGAATTTGCTTTTTATTGTGTAGTAACAGTTATTCAGTTAAAAAATGGAGAATTTGTAAGAAAATATTAAGTAGTGATGGTTATAAGCCTTTTTTTTAAATTTAAATTCGATTAGCCAACATATAGTAGTACATCATTAGTTTCAGATGCCGAGTTCAGTTATAAGCTTTTTTTATCCAGAGAAACTAATTTCAAATGATGTGCCAGTTTTGATGACACTGTAGACACATATCAATGTCTACTATCCTATAAGCGACTTAATTGTCTTCATTAAGACCTATGATAGTGCCTGTATATTGAATCATAGGATCTTAGTAAATGTTTATTAAATAAATCAAATGAAGTCCTTCAAGTCCTCCAAAGACAAAACTTGAAAAACTATCCCCAGTTTAAGAAGAGAGTTAACCAAAAGTAAATAGAAGGAGGTAAATAATAAAGAGCAGAAATCAATAGAACAGCAGAAACATACAACAGAGAAAGTTAACAAAGCCAAAAGTGGTTCCCTAAAAAGATCAACAAAATTGATATCCACTCCCACCCTCCATCCCCAGCTAAACAGATCAATCACCTATATGAAAAAGGGGTTATCACTTAAGAATCTGGAGCTACTGAAAAGATAATAAATGCTATGCCGGGGCACCTGGGCGCTCAGTTGTTAAGCGTCTGCCTTCGGCTCAGGTCATGATCCCAGGGTCCTGGGATCGAGCCCCATATCAGGCTCCCTGCTCGGCAGGAAGCCAGCTTCTCCCTCTCCCACTTATGTTCCTGATCTCTGTCAAATAAATAAATAAAATCTTTACCAAAAAAAAAGAAAGAAAGAAAGAAAAAAAACGCTATGCCAACAAATTCAACAACTTGGTAAAAATGGTCACATTTCTTGAAAATGCAACTTAAAAAAATTGACATAAGAAGAAATGAAAAATCTGAACAGCTTATTTCAAGTAAAGGAATTAATTTATCCAAAAACATAAGGGGTTTTAATGGAAAAGTATATCAAATATACAACAAAGAAATAAAATCGATCTTATTAAACTTTTCAAAAAATAGGAAGATAGATCATGGCCCAATTCACTCTATAAGGCCAAAATAACCCAAATACCAAAACCTGACAAAGACATTACAAAAAAAGAAAATCACAGACCAACATCCCTCTTGAATATAGACACACAAATCCTTAACAGAATATTAACAACAGAATCCAACTTAGTTTTAGAACAGAATCTTACAGAATATCTGTAACAGACTCTAATATAAATATTGTCCTTTTTGGACAATATATCACAACCAAATAGAGTTTATATTCCAAGAATACAAGGTTGGTTTAATATTAAAAAATCAGTTAATGTAATTTACCATATTCAGAGGTAAATATGTGATATATTACCAGAATAAGGGAGAACAACATGATTGCTCCAATAGATGCAAAAAAGACCATATGACAATATTCAACACCCATCTGTGATAAATGAAACTACAAAAAAAAAGAGAAATTAAAGTGATAGAGGGAATCTCATCTTACAAAAAAACCTACTGCCAACATCCTACTTTAAGGCGAAAGGCTCCTCACCCCCGAGACTGATTTATTTTTCTTGCCTTATTGAAATACCTAGGACATTGGATAGACATGGTGATTGCCTTGTTTGCAAAGGCATAAATATCAGAAAAGAAGAAATAAAGCCATCCCTATTTGCAGATGATGACTGCTTACACAGAAAATCATAGGGCATCTATATACCTACCACTGGAACTAATAAAACAAATTTAGCAAGATAACAAGATACAAGAATAATATGCAAAAATCCATTTTGTATATTAGCAGCAAAGTTTAAAAATAAAATTTGAAAAATGATTCCGTTTACAGAGTGCCAAAAAATATAAAATATCCAGTAACAGATCTAACAAAAGATGTTAAGCATTCTACACTGGTAACTATAAAAAAAGGCACAGAGAAATTAAAGGAGACTTAACAAATGGAAAGACATACGAAGTTCATGGATTAGAAGACTCCATTTTGTTAAAATGGTAATTCTCTCCAAATTGATCTACAGACTGAAAACAGTCCCAATCAAAATTTCAGTAAGTTTTGTAAAAAGTGATTCCAAAATTTATATGGTCATGTAAATGACCTAGAATAGCCAATGCAATTTTGAAAAAAAAATAATTGTAGGATTAACAAGAACTTACACTTACCCGACTTATGATTTACTATAAAACTAATCAAAATAGTTTGTATCCGCATAAAGGTAGACAAATGATCAATGGAAGAGAATACAGAGTCCAAAAGTGGACTCATACATACAGGGTCAACTGATTTGACAAAGGTGAGAAAACAACTGAACAGGAAAAGGAAGGTCTTTTTATTTTTTATTTATTTTATTTTTTTATAATGTTAATCACCATACATTACATCATTAGTTTTTGATGTAGTGTTCCATGATTCATTGTTTGCGTATAACACCCAGTGCTCCATGCAGTACGTGTCCTCTTCAATACCCATCACCAGGCTAACCCATCCCCCCATCCCCCTCCCCTCTAGAACCCTCAGTTTGTTTCTCAGAGTCCATAGTCTCTCATGGTTCATCTCCCCCTCCGATTCCCTCCCTTCATTCTAAGGAAGGTCTTTTTAATGAATGGTGTTTGATCAACTGGATATTCATATGGAAAAAAACGAACATCAACTCTCACCCCACAGGTAAATAAAAATTAACCTAAAATGGATCATAAACCTAAATGCAAAACCTAAAACTGTATGAATTCTAGGCGAAAACATACAAGAAAATATTTGCATTTTGGAGTTGGCAAAGTTTTTAAGAACACTAAAAATATGAACTACAAAAGGAAAAACAGGCAAATTGGAGTTCAGCAGAATTAAAAATTTTTGCTTTTTGGTAGCTCTTGGGGTTACCCCAGTTTTCCATGACTTGGTTCATTTTCCAATTGGGGATGTCATAGGGATGTCCCTTCTTAGTGTGGTCTTTTATATTTTACTTGGGCACTTGATCTTTAGCAGAAACAATGATGAATTCATTAACTCCTGTATTTACATATTGTTAATCCTTCTCCCTCTAATTTCCAAGGAAATTCCATTTTAATATCTTAAGTGGTATAAATGGTTTAATTCTAAAATAAAGGAGTTAGAAAGGCAGGGTATTGTGCTGTGCTTAATTCTACGTAGTACAAAACATTTAATGCAGAATAACTAAGACCTTCAGAATATAAAAGAATAAGGATAATGGAGTAAATTTTTCATAAGGTTTATTTCACTCTGAGATTACTTCCTTCTCAATTTTTTAATGCTAAATATCCTTCCTTGTATGAAATTACAGTAGTTGTAGGTGATATTCTTTTTAACGTCTTCACCTGGCAAAATATAAAGTTCACAACCTTACAATTCCCAAATCCCAAATTCTTTTTCAAATGTCACTGACTTGTGAATTGCAAATTCCAGAAACTATTGGATTAATAGGTAGGTAATGGATAATAAGTGTTCCACAAAACTAACAGATCGACTGACAGATATTCTGAGGAAACGAGGGCACCATTCTCTCGAGAAATGTACCAGAAACTCTAGGAAGAATTTTCAAACTACATGTGGCAAACTGTACGAGAGCCTCTCATGCGTTCTGAAATGACTTCTAAACCAATAGTTAAGTCTGGCTGTTCTTCCCCAGAAACTGGGGAAGAGAAGCTAGTAAGAAGTGGAAGAGAAATAAATGAATGAGAAGATCCTCTTCCTTCATACTAATTGAGAAGAAAATGTAACTTTTTAAAGACAGGCCTTTTCCTACATGAAAATACGAGATGCTGAACAGGAAAAGGAAGGTCTTTTTATTTTTTATTTATTTTATTTTTTTTTATAGTCAGCTTTAGAAACAAGAAAAATTTAAGAGAGCGATCATAACTCAATTTGAGATAGAACAACACATCCAGAAACACATATACGCCTGGGCCCTTACCAACTCCCCAGGTGTTCCCTACCCCAGAATATATTTACATCACAGACCAAAGCATGTGTGGGGGGCTGTGCATTAGCATATATACAAATGCAAAAATATCTGGCTATACATAATTATGGATATACATATATACATAATTATGGATAAATACATTAACTGAACAACACACAAATAGATGCCTACAACTGTCCAAGGAAATAAGATCCAGAAGGCTCCCAATGGTCCATCACATCTCCTTGTAGCCCAAGTCATCTGCTTCTAAAATGAAATATGAATGCCTATGATATTGTAATTATTATGTGTATATATACTCACAGAGCTCAAAGTCAGAATGCTTCAACAGCAAGAAAGAATAATAGGAAAATGGGTAGATTTCCTTTCCAACAAATCAACTATTGTTTTACATAATTCATTTACCTGCTGACAGTTCCTGAGTGGCCATTAATATATAAAACCATCAGCTCATTTCACAAGTTGTAAACTTCACAATAGGAAATCCTCTTTCTGCCCTCACAAATGGAAACAAGATAATCAAGATAAAGAATTCAGAAAACTGCACAAAGTTTACTGAGCACCTATGTGCCAGATGTCATGTTGGATTTCAAAACATTTCAAAACATTTTGAAACAAATAATAACTGATCATTTTGCCACTCATCCACTTTCAGATACAACTTAGCCCAAGAGCTGTATGGTGAAGAAGACAGTTTTAGAGGCAAAAGAACATACGAACTCTTATGACACCAGGCTTCAGGGATAGTCAGAGAGCAAGGAGGAAAGGAAAGGTAGTTCTTAACTGCAGAAGATCAAAACCAGAGCTTTCCAAACTCTAGTGTGCTGTAAAAGGGTTCCAGGTGTTTGAGATACTAATCCTCTCAGCCCATAGGGGCCTCTCCTCCCATGAGCAGCCTACTCTGATAAATTCCAAGATGCCTCAGAGATGATAATCTTTACATGTGCCATGTTGTGAAAGATTGGGAGGTACCGATCTAAACCAACAGTTCCCAAACAAGTGCTAAGAGAGTTGCCTAAGAGTAATATAGGGCAGTGTTAAAAACATGGACTCTTTTGAGTTCTACTTGCACAGATTCCAATTCATCGGGTCTGGGAACCTGTGAGAAGCCTAGAAATCTGTACTTTTAACATGTACACAGATGATTCTAATGAGCAGTCAAATCTGTAAAACACAGATCTAAATTATCCACTCAGAGATTAAAATAAACACTAGTCACTAAAACTGGCTAACGCAGCAACACAATTGTAAAATGAAGTAGGAGATTATTGTGGTCACAAGTAGACAAGCTCTTTAGGGTAGAGAGGAGATCTGGCATGGGGAGCCACAGATACAGACACTCATTAAAAGGAGAACATGAATGAGTAAGAGTATGTAGCTTACTGAATGAATGGACAAAAAGGAGGCTGGCCTAAAACTTGGCAGCATACAGGGAAAGCAAGTAACAAAACCAAAGAAAAAGAGAGTGGTCGGCAAAGTATAGGAGATTAATCAAATTCTTAAAAGTTTAGGTTTACCATATTCTGTGTTGAGGCCCCATAATTTCACTTTATTAGCTTCATACTGGGCTTTTTTCTTTAATCGACAAGCCCTGTGAAAGGAAGGAGCAATTAGTTTACTTTTTTTTTAAGTGAACACTCAGAATATACTTCTTTTTGCTGCTGTCAAACATTTTCTAATAGCAACCAAAAATCACTGCCTATTGATGTTTATATCAAGGAACTCAGTATCCAAAAAACACACAGTATAATCATTAATCCAAACTGATTTTTGAAAATTTTAGCACATGTCCAAAAATAAAGTTATGATGAATACACTAAAATAAACAAAAACTGACAGTACCAAGAGAATGTAAGTGGAACCATCATATGTTGCTAACTGGGATATGAAATAATACATACTGCTACTCTGAAAAACAGTAATTTTTTTAAAAATTTACTTTATTACTTCATTAATAGCTACTTTGACAATTTCTTATGAAGTTAAACATATACTCCTGGGTATTTACCCAAGAGAAATGCAAACTTATGTTCACACAAACACCTGTAAGTGAATATTTATGGTGGCTTTATTCATAATTGGCAAAAAGTGGAAGCAGCCCCAATGTCCTCATTTGGTGAATGGATAAACTGTGGTATATCCCTACAAAGGAATACTATTCAGCAATAAAAAGGAACTACTACTCTGCTCAACATGGATCAACATGAATCTCAAATGCATCATGTTAAATCAAAGAAGCCAGACTCAAAAGGCTACATATCATATGATTCCATCTATATGACATTCTAGAAAAGGCAAAACTTGGGGACAGAAAACAGATCAGTGGTTGGAGGGATTAGGGGTGGCAGAAAGGGTTCCCTTTACAAGGAGGCATGACGAAATTTTTTGAATGGATGATGAAAAATATTATCTTGATGGTGGTGGTGTTTATATGACTGGATATGTTTGTCAAAACCCATAAAAGTGTACCATAGAGGAGCCTGGGTGGCTCAGTTGGTTAAGCAACAGACTCTTGGTTTCAGCTTAGGTTGTGATTTCAGGGTTGTGAGGTCGGGCCCCACATCGGGCTCCAATGCTCAACTCAGAGTCAGCTTGGGATTCTCTCTTTCCCTCTGCCCCTCCCCCTGCTTTCAGGCGCGCGCTCTCTCTCTCATATAAACAAATCTTTTTTAAAAACCCCATAAAAGTGTACATTAAAAGGCATACATTTTACCTCAAGTAAATCATACCCCAATAAAAAAACTGACTTACCACAAAACAAAGAAAAAATAAAACTATGATAAATTTTTTCATTTTTTTCTTTAAATTTTTTATTGTTATGTTAATCACCATAATCATTAGTTTTTAACAAATTTTTTCATTTTTATAATATAATGCATTTGAGTCCATTCATCTCTCCCCTTTAAAAGCATAACACCATCTTTTGGTATCATGAAGCGTAAACAAAGCGTAAATACCATCTTTTATTTTTAAAGGAAAAATTACAATGCTCTCATTATAATATTTATAAAAGCATATTTCTGAATAAATGGTTGACGGTTATCTATAAAACCTCACTGAAAGTCTAACCTCATCACCTAGACTTTATTTACACAGGTGAACACGAGTAGCATTTACCTGGAAGCCAGCTTATTTTTTTCCTTCCTTGACCTTGGCCGGGCTGTTAAGGGAAGCTCACTGACCGGAGTCAGATCACTAATCACCTTATTCAGTTTCCGTAGTTCATTGCCTATCTGGAGCAGTTTTTTAGGATTTGGAGTCAGGTCTTCTACATCAGTTCTCCGTGACTTCTTTACTGCGTATTTTCCTATAGATGGTTTAAAAGAAGTTTAAGGTAGATCATTTTATTTCACCAAAGATACGTTCTACAGGCATATTTTAAAACCACATTTCTCCCTTCCCTCTTTTTTCTTTTTTAGAAGTCTTGGCATGTTTCAGAAGTCTCAGCACGATATGCTAAAAGGGCTAGCCTCCTCTCCTTCTCACCTTGTGCCTGCAAGAAATTGGGGAAATATGTCACAGCTCCAGTCTTTGCCAAGTCCTTCTCCACCTTAAAGTTTCTAGCCCTGGTACGACAGAATCTTAATTATATGCATGGTGGTAATAAGGATCGCAAACTTCAGGACTGGAGTGCAAGTTCACTGCACTCAAAAATCAGGGCTAGGGTAGAATATACACCCAGAAAAGAAATAGGAGATTTTACTCAAACCATGATGTTTTGATGCTATGATTGAAAATTTCTCAGACATATACTCTGGTGCTGGACTCAAAAGGCCAACAAATAAGGACTGTCTTTTTTGAAAGCTCTTCTTTGGTTAGTTTGATAAATAACATTACAGGAGACTTGGGGATCTTGCCCTATCACTGCAGGTAAGAGGGATAGCCTGGTCCTCTTAACTACAATATACCAAACAATTTTCTAGTACTCGCCATGTGCTACCTAAAGTTATTTATTGGACCTGTCTTTTCATTTCTTGTAGAAAACTGATCTGAAGGCAAAAACTAGGTCTATTCACTAAGAAACACTAGAGTACAGACTGAGTGCCAGCGGAAAGGGAAAATGAGGTACAAATATACTTCTGATATAATTCCTGTGTAAAAACAAAGTTGCTTAGCAACTTACATCTGTAGCATGAGAGATTACTAAAACTGTTCACTGAGTGCCAAACTTACTAGTGCCCTCCCCCTTTTCAGTACAGATTTTGGATCATACAAAATAGAAGAAGAAATTCTACTTAATTACATCTTCCTAGGTTCACAACTGTAAACTTCACCTGCCTAAGATTATAAGCTTCTCCCAACTCCTATCATTCAACTCCTCTCTCCATTTCTTTTCTCTACAATCATTCCCTTTCCTCTCCCCTCCTCTTTTCTTCCCATTTCCATTTGATTCCAATCTCCCTATTTACATTTCAGCCTGGAGACGAGACAAGAATGGAACAGAAAGATGCTGGAGCTCATTCCCCTTTCTCCCCAACCCTTCTGGTTTATTGCAACTGTGAATAGAATCAAGAATCAATCAGCAGTCTCCTGGTCACTCGTTTCTGCACGGAGCTTCCTCCCTGTTTAGGTGATGGCTCTCACCACCGGCAAAAGCTATTTGTGAGTATCTCTGCAGTGATAACAAATATAGCAGCTCTACTGTTCCTCTCTCCACTTCGCTAGGAAGGGCTGAATATGTAACTGAGTAAACATTATGGTTTATGATCTCTATTTAAAGTGACACGAAATGTTTGACCACAATTCCCTCTCACCATGATGTAAGCCATTTTTCTGATACATATTACTTGGCAAGGTGTCTCGGTTCCATTCAGATGGCCTCAGCATCCTCTCTTGCTGTGACGGGGTGAGCTGTTCACTGTACTCCCAGAAGTACCTTCTTTTACCTCTCTTCCGAGAGGATATTGAAGTCATCTCCTTCAAGTCTTCCACAGAATCATTTTCATAGCCTTAAAAAAAAAAAAAAGGAAAGAAATTGGGGACGGGGGGGGGGCTTAAGTTCCATAAATTTCAATAAAGCAATCAGGGCAAATAAAAAGATCTCTTCTATTTGTCACTTGATATATTTCCTTTCATCTGAAAACATCACTGGCATGTCAAAGATAACAGACTAGGTCTATAAAATGACATTTAATATGGAGCTGTCTAACTCATAAAATATTCAGAGACTAATAAACACAGGTAACTATACTGTTTATTCTCCTTATAGTTCTCTTTGGTTCATATAAGTTAGTGTGTGACATCCTTTTTTTGTATCTTTACATAGGCTCTCACTGAGAGAATAATGAAATATAGCTCCAGGAACGTCAAATGTACCATTAGATCATGATACTAAGACCCCACACTGTGATTTTAGAATGACTTCCTCTTAAAATGTGTGCATCCAAAACATTCCCAGTCAGACAGGTGTGTGCATTTCTATGATGGTATCCTACCGGTCAGAATTTTGTGAGGCAGCAGTGCTTTTCTGCCTACCTCCCACCCTACCCCTTTGGTAAAAGTACAAAAACGAGAGTTCTCACACAGTCTCTCAAATAAAAACATATATGCCTAGTCTAATATTTTACTGGAAGCAATCTGCATTTACTTCACTTAAGAAGTTATCTTCCTCACTAATGGGGAGTTTCAGAAAATAATTACGAGTTGCTACAACTGTTGGTCAGACCTCACGCAGGATGACCTACAAATCTAAAATACCCTCAGAGAATGCCCATCTTAGTGTACTCCACATCATTACCACTATGTACATGGGGGAATGGAGACGGGCCCCATGCAGGACGTATGTAACACTACGGTGGCCAGGAAAACTTGGGTAGCACCGGCCAAGCAAAATGACCATTTTGTCTCCTAAAAACATGACTTCTCTGGAACCGACACTAAGAAAGAGATGACACCTGCATGTTTTGGAAAAAAGAATTTCAGAATTTTACCAGGTTTTCTTCAGATTAAGAATGAATCAAAAATATGGCTCCATTTATATGACATTCTGGAAAGGGCAAAACTGCAGGCAAAACTAGAAAGTGGTTGCCAGGAGTTGGGGGTGGAGGGGGGGCTGACTCTAAAGGAACATAAGGTGGGGGCAGCTGGGTGGTTCAGTCTGTTAAGCATCTGCCTTTGGCTCAGGTTAGGATCCCAGGGTCCTGGGATCGAGCCCCGCATCAGGCTCCCTGCTCTGCGGGTAGTCTGCTTCTCCCTCTCCCTCTGCTGCTGCTCCCCCTGTTTGTGTGCTCTCTCTCTCTCTGTCAAACAAATAAATAAAATCTTTAAAAAATAATAAAGGAACACAAGGGAAATTTAGGGGGTGATCAAACTCTTCTTTATCTTGATGGTGGTAGTGGTTACCAGCACTACATGCACTTGTCAAAACTCACAGAAGTTTACACTTAAAGAGGGCAAATTTCATACTTGTACTTATTATACTTCAATAAACATGACCTTTAAAAAAAAAATCAATTTGGAGACCAGAATGATTTCAGGGCAACAATCAAGAGAAGCTTCTGTAGCACTGCTGGTATTCACAGCATTAAAGTGCACATGCGGTAGTTTAAAACAATATGGCAAGGAATGTGACAGTGAACTTTAGTTCTTTATTAAGAAATGATGCACGAGGGGCGCCTGGGTGGCTCAGTCGTTAAGCGTCTGCCTTTGGCTCGGGTCATGATCCCAGGATCCTGGGATTGAGCCCTGCATCAGGCTCCCTGCTCAGCAGGAAGCCTGCTTCTCCCTCTCCCACTCCCCGTTTGTGTTCCCTTTCTCACTGTCTCTCTGTCAAATAAATAAATAAAATCTTAAAAAAGAAAAAAAAAAGAAATGATGCATGAGTCACACAATCATTTCTAGAAATCTGATTTTTAAAAATTGTTAGATACATAAAGCAATGACAACTTTGGCCTATGTATTTGTGCCAATGTGACACTTCAAATTAAGGATTTCACCTTGTTCCAGTGATCAACCTAGCTTTGGGAAAGATGCAAGGGCCACACAGTGCCACCAGAGATGGTGTTTTCGAATCACCTGGCTCCACCAGGCCAAGAAAAACTTACTGGCTCAAAGAAACTACTGGTTCACAGAGACTAACCTAGTATGGCTGGGAACACCTCCACACAGGCAGATGGACCAACAAAACACTCCCAACTTCCCACCAATGTTAAGAACTGGTGTTACACACACACACACACAAACCCCAAAAAACCAACCAACCAAAACAGAAACAGACCCACAAATACAAAAAACAAACCATATACAAGATTCAGAGGGGGAAAATAGGTAAAGGGGACTAAGAGGTATAAATTTCCAGTTACAAAGTCAGTCAGTCATGGGATATAAAGTACAACTCAGGGAATAGTCAATAATATTGTTAATAATTTTATATGGTGACAGACGGTAACTAGATTTAATGTGGGGGTCATTTTGTGATGTATATAAATACTGAATCACTGTATTATACACTGAAAGTATTATATACCAACTATAATTAAAAATAAATAAAAATTTAAAAAATAAGTAAAACAAAACAAAACAAAACAAAAACCCAACCTTTGTATGGTGACAGACAGTAACTAGACTTATCATGGGGATCATGTTGTAATGTATAAAAGTATCGAATCATTATGATGCACACCTGAAACTAAGAGGATACTGTATGTCAATTATACTTCAATAAAAAATAAGAAATCTACCCTAGCCCAAAGCATAAAGGAAACTTTTTCATATACAGCTTCCTCAGGCATCCCATTCCTCTGACAATTTATTTGATATTCTCCTCCATTTAGCAACTCTCCTCAGGTGGCCTGGATTTCTGGCAAAACACTGTCCTTCTCATTAAATGTACTTACATATTTCACTTATAGATATTTTATTTGAGACTTCTAAGAGCCCAATTAAAAAAAGGTGTTATTAACCCCATTTACAAAAAGAAACATGCTCATGGAGGCTTTAAGCGAGTTGGCAGAGTTGGAACTGACTCAAGTCCCATGACTCAAGGAGTCTAACTCCTACTGGGCTTCTTTACTTTTCCTGTACCCACCTAAATGGTCTAAATGGATTTTTCTTTACATATATCCCATTGTTAAATTCAAAGAATAATAAAGATTTTTATTTCTTCCATCCCACTCAAATTAGTTATCAGTTTTATTTATATATGTTCAGCCTTTTCCAAAAAAGCATTTAAGGGCCATCAGTTCTCTTTGACCTAATATTTTAACATTTTCTAATAACATACACCATAAATTCACCATAACACACATAAACACAGTCACATGCACACAATGGGTTTAAGATGGCCACTTTTCAATACAGAGACCACTATGAGCAAGTAGAATGCAGAAAAATTATTATTCCCAGATCACTGGTCTAGCATTTAAGGTAATTAAATCTCTCTCAACGTATATTCTAAAGAACACGATTATCGTAAGATATGCCTTCATCCCCAAGTGAGTTCTGTGGTCAAATAAGGTTTAAGAAACTCTCATCCTGCATCTCTCTCTTGCCGAGTCACACTACACACAAGCAGATTAAAAGACGAAGAAATCAGGGGTGCCTGGGTGGCTCAGTCATTAAGCCTGAGTTCAGGTCATGATCTCAGGGTCCTGGGATCGAGCCCCACATCCGGCTCCCTGCTTGGCAGGAAGCCTGCTTCTCCCTCTCCCACTCCCCCTGCTTGTGTTCCTGCTCTTGCTATCTCTCTCTGTCAAATAAATAAATAAAATCTTTAAAAAAAAAAAAGACAAAGAAATCATAACAGTAACTAAACCCACTCAACTCTAAGTTCCATCAAGACAAGGATCATGTCTGTTTTGTTCATCTCTGGATAGGCAATATCTAATACACACAGTGCCTAAAACAAATGTAGGCACTCAAACATTTTTTTCTTTTATCAATTATTTATTTTTATTTATTTATTTTTTAAATGTTTTATTTATTCATAAGAGTCAGAGAGAGAGAGAGAGAGACAGGCAGAGGCAGAGAGAGAAGCAGACTCCCCGCCTAGCAGGGAACCCGATGCGGGACTCGATCCCAGAACCCTGGGATCATGACCTGAGCCGAAGGCAGACGCTTAACCATCTGAGCCACCCAGGTGCCCCACAAATCAATTATTTGTTTAATGAAACATTTCCCATGAAGCCTTTTCCCTTTTCTTTTCATTTGCTGGACCACCATACTGATCTAACTCATTCCTTCCTGACATGATTATCAAATGGAAGTCAAAAAGGCTACATTTATTGTGTAAAATTCTAACCACACATCTCTGGTTAGTGCAGACTACTGGTAAAGTCAATCGTGAAAATGTTTAGTACAGATTACAAAACAAACTTTCATTCTGGGGGCCCAATTCTTAGTATTACAACCATGTAATCCCAATGACCCCAAACGGTCATAGCCTGTTCACAGAATAGGCTCTATTAAAACTTGGGAGCAAGGCCAGAGTAGGGACTGAAACTCCATTTTACACCTTTCCTGGAGCTTTGTAGGCTCAGGCACTGTTGTAGCCAACTGCCAAGAAACAGCATCAAGGGAGCTAGTCATCACAAAAGGGCCTTTGTAAACTGCTGCAAATTAAACCAATCAACCCACTCTAAAACTAGCACTCTGAAGAAACTATAACTATCCACTTTTCTGCTTCAAAGAATTTCTTCCTGCTTCTCACCAATAATTCACTTTTGCATTCCTGAAGTCACTTGTTTAGCTCTTTCTTCCAAGAAAAAGGGAAATTTTCATTAGCAAATGTGAATAAAGCCCAAATAATACCACAAAATAGTGTTGATTTTGTGGTTAAATCATGTCGTTCATTAACATTTGTGAGAACTGTCCAAGTAATACTAACCAAAGAGGCTTTATTTCAAGTCAACTGGAAGTGACTGAATTAAATGCCATCCAAACATTTAGCATTGTTAAACAGAGCCAAGAGGAGAGTTTTACTCAGCCAAAGCATCTCTGTTTCAAAGCAGAGTTGGTTAACACCAACAAGCTCACAAATCAGGATTCCTCTATAGGAGACAAGGCAAGAGAATGTGGCATGACAGGACAACACCAACTGTAACACTGGTGCCCCCTCCCTGAGTGTCAAAAGGTTGACAAAATGGAAATGAGGGTCAACTTACTAAGTGATCTCTCTTCACAGACCTATTCATCTCTCAACACATTTATCCAGGTAAAAACACATTAAAAGATAAAGATGAATTTAATGTGCAGTTGAAAGCTAAAGAAAAGCAAAACTACAACCACAAGTAGGGTAGACAGTACAGTCCTTGGTGACAGCAGGATTTACTGACTCCCTCTGATCTACATGTTCCTTTAAGCACCTACTGGGAAAAGTATCTTTCTCTACACTTTCCATTTCTTTTAGTTATTACCCATCTCCCCTTTGTCTCACCCTTCCCCTACCCTTCTACCTTGATCCTAAACATGGAACTCAAAGCAATAAGGCTGATCGGTCAGACATGGGGCGCCTGGGTGGCTCAGTTGGTTAAGCGACTGCCTTCGGCTCAGGTCATGATCCTGGAGTCCCGGAATCGAGTCCCACATTGGGCTCCCTGCTCAGCAGGGAGTCTGCTTCTCCCTCTGACCCTCTTCCCTCTCGTGCTCTCTATCTCTCATTCTCTCTCTCTCAAATAAATAAATAAAATCTTTAAAAAAAAAAAAAGGCTGATCGCTCAGACATGGAAGACTACTCATAGATAGCACTCTGGTCTTCCCATGGGAGGGAGCTATATAACTTAACACTAGCTATAAAGACAACTTTCCCTGAAACATTTCAAAGCAGATTTTTTTAAAGATTTTTAAGTAATCTCTACACCTAATGTGGGGCTTGAACTCACAACGCCGAGATCAAGAGTCACATGCTCTACCAAGTGAGCCAGCCAAGTGCCCCTCAAAGCAAATTGTATTCATTTGTTGAGAGAAAAATTTTCCTCAGTAGAAAAAATAATTGTTCTATCTAGACTATGCAGAGTTCTAAAGTAAACCAAAAAAAGGCATAAGCCCTTTTCCTCCAGATTAAAGTACTTTTCCTTACTTGAAACTTAACCCGAGTCAAACAACTTGGTTGTATCAAATACACAAATCTAGGCATTTGTGTAATAGAAAGATTTCACTAAAGGAAAATCTTTCAGCAATAATAGTGCTTCACCAGCTACAATATATCTACCATGGCTTAAAAACTTTTCTGAAAATTAAATACCAATCTTTATACTGCCAGAAATTCCAGCAATCGTGTAACAAAAGGGCTCTCTTTGACAATTTCTAAGGTTTTAAAAATAACAGTTTTTTTATGTACAAGTTATAGCACCAACATTATTTTTTTTTAAAGATTTTATTTATTTATTTGAGAGAGAGAATGAGATAGAGAGAGAGCATGAGAGGGGAGAGGGTCAGAGGGAGAAGCAGACTCCCCGCTGAGCAGGGAGCCCGATGTGGGACTCGATCCTGGGACTCCAGGATCATGACCTGAGCCGAAGGCAGTCACTTAACCAACTGAGCCACCCAGGCGCCCGACCACCAACATTATTTTTGAAGAAAATAACTTTTGCTTAAATTTGAAGATCTTCACTTCTTTGTGCATTTTGAACTGTGTGCCACTTGGCAATACCATTTTCATAAATACTGCACAAGCCAACAGTGGCAACAGCCCAAGCATGTAAATGCTGAATGAAGTGAACCAGTTCTCACAGGTTTCATTTTCTTTCTCCCTTTTATTTATATGTGCTGTATATAAATAAAGCAGAGTATCCTTTATGCTCATTAAATCATAGCACAGATTTTTCTTAAATGGAAAAATACCGTGTGAATGAAAGATGGGACAGACACAAAGAAAATGCTCTTTTTTACATTATTCATTAAGTAGGCCTTCTTGGTATTAAGCATGAGTAATATAAACCATCATTACTTGGTTTACCATTGTGGGCACTCCTAACTTGCCTCAACTATAATAGAGGGGGACATGTACAGAAATAGGAATATGTTTAAATCAATCAATTCTTGGCATCTTTGCATAGCTGCTCAAGAGAGTAACAAATTAGGTCCCTTAACATAAGATAAATTAAGAAGAAGCCCTCGAAGAATCAGCCTATGAATCACTATATGAGCAAAAGTGATCATTTTAGAACTGCCTGAATAGAAAAAAAGCAATTACATATCTGAACCAAGATATTAAGTCACTTAATCCCCAAACTAAGACAAAGAAAACATCCATATCTCAGGATAGGAGAAAGGTCAGTCGGGTAAGTCTCCAAGCATTACCATACCTGGCTCAGAGAAAGTGTCGCTAATATCATCATCTTTGTCATCTTCATAATCCTCTTCCTCCTCTTCCTCCTCTTCGTTTTCAGAAAGTTCGTGCTCACTACCAAACCCTTCATCATGGTCCTCATCATCAACATCCTCCTCGTCTTCCTCGTCATCCTCAGGACTGCATTTGGTTGGCTGTTCACCCAAGTTGTCAGAGACAAAAAGGGAGTAATTGTGCTCTTCTTTTTTCTGGGATGAATCTGAGACCAATGTGCTGGCAGAAAGGCTGCTACTCTCTCCTGCGGCAATGGACCCAGGACCCTCCTGGGACAGGGGACTGAGCAATAGTTCCTGGGTTTCTTTAAAAGGCAAAGCTGGAGTGGCATGACCCTGAAGAGGCTCCATCCCTTTTCTCTCGGGTCTCTTTGCTACTACACCACAGTAGCAGGTATTCTCCTTTGCTGCATCTGCGTGAATCTGGCTCAACAAGGGCCGGCTCTGCTGCACTGGGTTGATCTTTACCTTTGCCTTTTTTACATAGTCTTTACATTCAACATGAAAGTTCACCTTGTCATTATGATACATGTTGGTCTTCACCATGATCTGTGTGCTTGAAGTGGGTTTACTTGCTTTTTGGACACAGTCTGACAAAGGGACCTCAGCCTGAAGAGTTTTAGAAGAACACACAGGGGCAGCTGCTCTGCTTGAGATCTTTTTACTAGGGAATGAAGAGGGCAAGGGATTTTGTTTGACACTGAAAAGTGAATCAGGGTAATAAAGGGAATCGGAAACAGACTGAGAGTCCTCACTATTAAGCTGGGCCAAAGTTGGAGTTTTACTTATGACCTCTTCATCTTGGTAAGGGCTAGAAAAGTCATCAAGACCCAAGTAATCCACTTCTTTTGTTCCCCAGATGTCACAGCTGGTTAGTTTGGTGTACTTTGTTAAGTCTTCACAGTATGTATCCCACTGTTCCCAGTTTGAGGTTAAAGCACCCTCATTATCCAGGACATCTGTGAAAGACTCCAGATTTTCAATGTCTTTGCAGTCCTCCAAAGAAAGGAAGTTGTCTCTAGGATTCTGTTGATAGTTCATCTCTCTGTCCTGAGAAAAGTTTAAAAAAAATCGCACACCATATTTTAGGAAAGAAATATTCACCTCCATCCTCACATCCATGTACCAAATTGATAAATCAGTACTTGACCTCTGGTCTGTTTTAAGATAAAGGCTATTTACATGTCACTTTACCAGTCCATATAATATCATTTCCCTGGGCAAGGAAAAAAAAGGGAAAATATGCCCCTTTAGAGGCTCAGGTATGGTCTAAATATCAAGGGCTCTTGAACTTTACTATAAACACTCTTCCCGGAAAAAGGTTTACATTTCCTGATATTTGACTTAGAAGGATTTGGGGATCTCCTCTGAAACAAGCTTCAATTACAAAGCAAATAATGAAGACCTTACCTTCATCACAGAAGAATTTGTCTTCTTAAGTGAGAACTGAAATACAGAGGCAAAGTGCAAACCAAAGAAGAGTTGAAATTCCACCACAGAAGGATAAGATCTTTGGTAAGGCCTTGTTAACAATGCTTGGGCATGGGGACTACAATACTCCTCATGAATAGAGATAGGATTTTAAAAATATGTTAGTAAGACTATGCAGCCACTAAAAAGAATGCAGTTAAAGTCTCATGTACTAGCATGAGAGGCTGCTCACCAGATGTCTTTACGTTAAAAGGATCAAGTTACAGAATACTGCATCTATGAATGTGTCATCCAATTTAAAATACTCATGTACTTATATATGAACAGGAAAAACTCTGTTAGGAGTACTTATCTTTGGGGAAAAGGGTTAGAAGGTGGAGGTTCAGGAAGGAAACGAGGACATTTTCGGTTTGTTTTGACTTTTCCATTTGGGGCCTTTCTTGTTTTGCTTTTGTTTATGGGTGTGTGTCTCTGTGTTCTAAGAGCTTTAAGGAAGTACAGTTTGCAGACCGCAAAATTCACCTGTATTAAGTGTACAATTCAATGATTTTTTAGTAAATTAACAGATTTATATATTTAGTTTTGCATTCATGTTGCTTAAGCTGTATGTAATTAAATTCTTCTTAGGAATCTTATTTACCTCGAGAATAAGTGATAAGTATACCACCTGGAATTGCTACTTTTACCTCATATTCTCTGTGTCATATGCTTTGCTTAATGTTATCATTCTTAAATATCCCAGTTGAAGAGTTCTTCAGCAGTCAGGCATAACAAAAAAGACAGCTTCCCATCCTCATCATCAAAAACTGGACTTGAATATATTTAGATAAACTCTCCTCTTATTATTTTCTTTTATGTGTGTGTGCATGTATTTATATAAAAATAACAATTATTTTTATAGTCATAGTCATATTTTAAAATTCCAGTATAATTAACATATAGTGTTATATTAGTTTTAGGTGTGCAATATAGTGATCCAACAATTCTACACATTACTCAGTGCTCTTAATCCCCTTCACCTGTTTCACACCCATGCCCTCATCCACCTCCACTGCTCTTACTATTTTCAATGGGTTCATACAGCCTTCTAAAATTACTAGACTGACAGTCACAAGAATCAAACTTGACATCCTTTTTTCTGTTCAGGCATTTATAAATAAAAAAACTATACCACAACATTTTTACCCCAATTAAATAAATCAATTAAAGCAGAATCCAAGAAAACGTTACTTACCAGTTCATACATGAAATCTGGATCTGAACTGTTTGCTAAGAGATCTGTGCTCATCAGAGTCTGTTCTGAAAAGGTGTGGCTTCGAAAGGCATCCCCAAAAGGCGGATCCATTCCGCTTACACTAGGCTACAACAAAGTGATTTTAACTTTAGAAAGTTAAAGACTACTGCAAGACCACTCCAAGACCAATTTATTACACGCAACTCCCATACCTACTAACTTACTAGTTTCACAACAATTCTGTATATTTTCTACTCTTTAGCACATTTGAGAGATTAAACTAACATTAAACTATGAACTTAAATTAGGAAAATAATGAAGATGCATTAAAAATAGAAAAAGAAATAGTGGCAACTGTTAATAATACCTAACTTCCAAAAATTAAAGCTTATTTAGCCACTAGAATCAGCATTCACTACCCTAATGAGTACTTTTATTCGGCTATATAACATTTCTTCAAATCCACCTCTAACAACATTCCCTCTTCTATCTCTCCAACATGGAGAATTCTCTATTTCCTGGGGTCTGCAGAGATAGCAAGTCAGTCTCATTCTGTAGTCCTACGTGAGTCCAGTGTCTTATTTCCCCAAACAATCTGGAAGACAATCTGGGCACCGTTAGTGCAACCAATGCCTCCAGGAATGTGGTGATGAAAACAGGATCAGTCAAATATCCAAAAATCTTACTGGTGAGACCAGAAACTTGGGCATGAGCTCAGTAGCCTTAATCCTGATCCCAGAAAAGGGTACAATTCATTCTGTAATAAAGAAGGGAAAAGAGACTTGGCACCCAGAGCTGATGCTCCTTCTTTTCTCTCCACCCCACTTTTCCATTCCAACATCTATATAAATCACTCCAGAGGGAAGTCAGGGCCTACACTCCTAAAGCAGCCCAAGTAAGTGAAAAGGCCTCCCTCTGAAATCTAACTTGGATGAAGGAAGAGGATGTGAAAGAATAAAAATTCCCTCTTTGCCTTTTTGTTCTTATTCTGCAAGTTTTTGCTGAAACTTTAAAAAAATTCTATCAGTCTATTTGCTTACACTTCTCTATTCAAATACCTTCTACCTACCACAAACTGGCCTTCTTACATGCTCTACTCTCATGTTTTTCTTTACTGGTACTTCCCAATCCAGTCTTTTCTTTCTCTAATTTTCCCCAAACCTACCAGGCTGCAAGCTCAAAATAAGTATGTTATAGCTCTAACTTCAAGTATTCCACAAATAACAAATTAAACTCTGAATGGGAAAGAACTCCAAATCAGTACGAGCAGTCCACTTGGCCCAGAGATTGGGGTGGAGCTAGGGCACTGGTCTTCTTAATATCAGCTAGCTTTCTTCGCCTTTGCTACCTGCCTCTGAGCCACTGGAGAATCCCAGCAAGTTGCTTATTTTCTGTGCTCAAGGCATAACTCTGCTTGGCCCTACCTGAAGCCACCTAAGAGTCCCTGCCCTCTCCTTATTTCTAGGTTTCTCCTCAGCACTGAACCCAAAGAGAGAAAGGCATAAGAGCTAACCACTGGAGGAGGACAGGAAGAAGTGTGGATGTGCAGTGGGGACACACAGGGCTTCTTTTATTATTTCAGAGATTGCCTCAAACCAGGACTGATCAATTCAAAGTAGTTACCATAACATAAATAGATCTGATCATTCTCAATAATCTTTTGTGAGTATATGTGTATGTATGAAAGAGAGAAAGGTTGAAATCTCTCACCATTTCCTCTTAACTACTTTTAAATTCAAAAGGCATAAATGGAAAGGAATAACTGGGAAACAGGAAGTAGACAAGGAGATGGAAGTGGGCTTTCTGTGGCAGATTAATTTTCAGGGGAGTTGGGTGAGCCCGCCCACAGCCAGCAGATCTGTCCCCCTTCTAACCAAATTTTCATTCACCAGGTTTCCCGTGTCAAGCTCATTAAATTTCAAAGTTGTAGCAAAGGAGGAAATAGAAAATGTCTTAAAATGTGAGTTTGTCAAGTTGTGTTAAGATTCAAAGAACTTACAGAACCAAGAGTACTGGCTTTCTGCAGTGGGAAAATATAAAACTTTGCACCTACTCTGTATGATTTACCTGAGGCATTTCCAAGCCCAGATCCTGTGAGTCCGATCCCAAACTTTTTTTTTTCCTTGTTTGTAAATTCTTTTCCAGCTTTACTTTTAATTTCACGATCAAAGACGATTTTCACAATAAATGGCAGGTTTTCCCACAATGCCTTCAATTCAAATGCTTGGATCACTGCTTTTTATTTTTTAATATTTCTGTGTGAATCTGTCAAACAACACAAAGTAACTTCACTGAGCACCATTAAAAACAAGTTGACCTTTCAAAAATGACATTAACAAAGAACATTTTAAAGGAGTCTTATAGTTACAATCTCAAGAATTTGGTCATTTCTTGGTACTAACTATCCTGAAATTCACCATTTCTCTCTTTGTTTCTAAAAAAGGATAGGTCAATAACCAATTGGCAACATTAAAAAAAAAACCCTGACAAAATTAACTGAGGCCTATCTTCCTGAAATACATCTAAAAGATCTATTGTATCTAATGTTAAAGTAAAGCTCCCATTCACTTTATGTTCTGTATGAGAAAATGTCACAACATTTAATTCTATCTATTGTATAATCATTACTATAAAATTAATCTACATTTTATATCTCTTATAAATCTACAAGAAGAGTAATGAATACATAAAGTCAACAATGGAGGGTGCCTGGGTGGCTCAGTCAGCTAAGCGTCTGCCTTTGGCTCAGGTCATGACCCCAGAGTCCTGGGATTGAGTCCCCATAGGGCTCCTTGCTCAGAGGGGAGCCTGCTTCTCCCTCTGCCTGCTGCTCCCCCAGCTTGTGCTCTCTCTCTGACAAATAAATAATTAAGATCTTAAAAAAAAAAAAAGGCTGTTAAAAAAAAATTATTCCAGTAAGTTTTTAACATGTTTATGCTGGGGGAAAATAAGAAAATACCCTGCAGAGGGGTTGCAAGGGTTAAATAATGATTGCAGATCACCTGGCAGAGAGTCTTAACTGTGGTAGAGCCTTAAATTTAAATGTTAATTCCCTTTTCCCTCCTCTGTGAAGGCCTCAATTAAGGGGGTCTAAACAGCTATGCCCATTTCATCATCTTTTCCTACATTAGGGGTCCTCAAAGTGTGATCCCAAGACCAGAAGCATCAGCATCAACTTGGATTGTGTTACAATTGCAAAATTTTGGGCTCCAGCCCAGACCAACTAAAGCAGAAACCCTGGGAGTGTTTCTCCCAGTTATGTGTTTTAACAAGCGCTCTAGGCAATTCTGACTCTCCCTAAAATTTGAGAACCACTGTCCTGCACTCAACACCTTGCTCTCATTCAGTCTAGTTGCAATATCCTTTCTTAGACTGAACCAATTTAAGCTGAGCTGCTCCATACTTAACACATCTGGACTAGAGGCTTAGAGTGGTACATTACGTCAATTTCAAAGGCCTCTGCAGAACAAGTAAGAGACTGTCAACCAGAGATTCAATAGCTGTTCCACTTAATTAGATTAGTAAATTGACAACCATTTCTATTTCCTGGATCTTTGCTGGGCCCTCCCCTCTGGTGGGCTGTCATTCCTACCTTGCTTTTCTAGCCTAGGAAACACCATTAAGTGCCCAGCCTGGGCCTACGAACAGAATTAACTATGCATTTCAATCCCATGCTACAGTTTAGGCTCCTGACAAAGGCCAGTTCTGGTCCAGTTCCTCCTTATATGGCCTCATGCCTTGATCCTACTGCTGATATATAATCTCAGTCCTAATTCTTCCCTTGATTCCTGTGAGAAACAAGGTCCGTTGCCCTTTCTTTTTTTTCTTTCTTTTCTCTTTTCCTTCCTTCCTTCTTGGGGTGGGGAGGGGCAGAGGGAGAAGGAGAGAGAGAATCTTAGCGATGTGGGGCTCGATCTCACAACCCTGAGATCATCACCTGAGCCGAAATCCAGAGTCGGTCGCTTAACTGACTGAGCCATCTGGGCACCCTGATCAGCTGCCTTTTCTAGATCTATTACTTCCAACTCCAAAAAGGTGTATGATTCAAGTGATGCGTTCAATGAAGTGGGTCAGTATAATCCTGGTCTATAACCTGGATCTGGGAGAAAAGAGTGATACTCTCTAAAATCTTAAGTTTACCCTTACTAAGCAACAGGGCTGAAGACTGAGAAAAGATTAAGTTCTACTAAATAAATACTCATTGCCATCAACTAAAGACACCATCTACCAATAGCTTGGTTTATCAGGGAAAACAGTGGACAAAAGAGGGCTAAGTTCTAGTTGCAGCTCTCATTTGCAAACTATGTAACACTGGGTAGGTCAATCTTTCTAAGCCTCTTTCTCATTTCTAGAAAGAAAACAATACTACTAATAATACTAGTTTCCTAGCCACCGAATCTTCTAAGCCATAAAGCCATAAAATACAAATGCAAATAGAGGTAACCCCACTTTTTGAAGTTTATGTTACACCACTTCGCTTTTACGAAGACCTACACTGGTACCTGTTTCTGCTAACTGAAGGAAATCCAAAGAGGATTTGTGTTTTTATGAAAATAGGTGAAAACAGTGTTAAGCGTTTGTTGTCCATTGGGCCATTACAGAGGCAGAACACAACCCAAGCACAGCAGCAGGTACCCTACCCAGCTCCTTCCCTGGGAACCACTCAGCATCTCAGTACCAAGTTGCCACAGTTCTGAACTGTGTCTGTGAACATCTGTGCTTTATCTCGATTTATTTTGTGCATGCATTGGCAAGATGTATCCTAAGGTATCAGAAAATCCTATGAGAGGTTATTTTCTGGCCTGGGAATGCTCAAAATTTTTCCACATAATTAATGGTAAGTGCTTCTCCACTTTATGCCATTTCAGCTTACAAAAGGTTTCATAGGAGCACTCTACTTTTGCATAGCAGGAGAAACTTTTTTTTTTTTAATTTTATTTAAACACTTGACATCAAAACTAGGTTGTCAATGCAGTTAGCAAAAAGAGCACTTGTTTGGAGCACTTGACAGGAGACTTGGAATCCAGTTTTGATCCCATAATTAAAACTAAGCAGTCTTATGAATCTGAGCAAGTTATTTAAATTTATGCCTTAGCACCCCACTGAGGAATGACAATTATTCTCCTTTAACTATAACAGGGATGTTATGAGAATTGAATGAGATATTAAATTAGGATGTACTAATAAAATAAATCTGAAAGGTGATTATTATCAACAGGTATATTTTGCCAATGCTTTCCTTTGTGCCACACCTACTCCATCTCAGAAACTCAACATCTGTGACGGCTACTGGCAGCAAGGCTGAATGTTTTAAAGACACCATTTCCCAAAGAGAGGGTATCCATCATGTTAAGAGTTGAGCATTTCCTCCTGGGATAGTTAAAGGTCCTTAGGTGCTTTTCCCAGCAGCAAACAGGAAGGGTGAAGGGCCAATTTTACCCCAAGCAGTAAAAGGTCTTTTCATTCTCTGAAACTAATGACCCAAGGTCACAACCAATTATCTTTATCCCCAAGGTTTTGCACCCATTTTCCAGAATTCTTGGTACCATTCCAAGTACCAATTTCCAAAATTCTTGGTACCATTTATTGTGAAACGACCATGAACAACAAAATTCACCACCCAAAAGTGGAAAGAAAAGAAAAAATAATAAAGGTTTCTACAGTAATTACCATTGCACAGAATCTTCCATAATGATACACTGCTCCCAAATCATCTCCTATACCAGGGAGCCATATACAAAGGGTATATTGATGTTTAGATGGCCAAATAACAAGAGGAAGGTGTAACAACTTGCTCTTCAGGATGCCTTCACACTTCTTTGGGCTTAAGAATATCCATATTTTACTCACAGCTTTGATATTAAAGTTATGTACACTAAAAGCAATGGTCTAATTTCCCAATGTGTAACCTAAGAAATATTTGTTCCAAGGAATGTTAAATGGTTATTCAATAAAAGGGTTATGAGGTTTAGAAAACACCACATTAAATAAAACTGATACATTGACTCCATGTAGGGCTTCTTGCAAACTTTAAGGTGCTAGGTACTAATGTGCATTATAAATCACCAAAAGGTGACTAGCGCAGATAGGATTTCCCAAACTTCCTTGATCCTAAAGTCCTCTACCCTGCCCTCAAGCAGACCAAGACTAGTGTTATTAAAAACAACTACAAAAAACCCACAAAACCCTAAAGGAAAGGCTAAATCAATTTTCTAGTTAGGAATTCCTTTTTTTTTCCCCCAAAGATTTTTATTTACTTGAGAGACAGCACACCCAGGAGAGGGAGAGGGAGAAGCAGACTCCCTGCTGAGCAGAGAGCCTGACACGGGACCCTATCCCAGGACGATTGAGCCACCCAGGCACCCCATGAATTCCTTTTTTTCGCAGCTCTGGCTCATCAGTTCTCAATACAGTTTTGTGACTCTTCCAAGGGAAAGAAGACTGTTGTCCATCAGAAATATCTGCCAACAGATTTTCTGTACCTGGGCTCATTCAAAACTATTCAACAACAGCGCCTAGGCACAGGAAAATACTCTGTTAACAGAAAACTGGCTCCCTGAAGCAATGTGATAGGGGTTCAGGGCAGGCTGCCCCAATATGCTGCCCTCACATATTATTTTTAATTGAAGTTACTCAAGAAAGAGCTAGTGCAATAAAGAGACTCTGACCTTCCTCTGTTGCCCTGAAAGCAAGAAATAAATTTCCCCATGTGAGAGGTACCCTCCCTGCACCTGGGAGAAAGAAAGCATCCTTAGTGCCAGAGATAGGCAATTCAGGGCCAAGAAGGCTATATAAATAAACCTTATTTCTTCATTAATTTGCTACCCCAAGCCCAAACATCTTTGTCAACTCTTAACAGATTTATTGTTTCTTTGTCTAAAAGGTATAAAAGTTGCCTGCTTTGGTCACTTCTTTGAATCTCGTATTTTGATGAGCTCCCATACATATAAAATTAAAATTTGTTTTTCTTCTGTTCATCTGTCTTGTGTCAATTTATTTATATCAGACCAGCCAAAGAACCTAGAACCTAGAAGGGAAGAGAGGAAAAGCTTTCCTCTCCTACAAATGATATGGAGCAAATGACTGATTTATGAGCAGTAATGGTATCACTTGAAGATGGCCATGGCTCAATATCTTTCATAGCTTTTTTTTTTTTTTTTTACCAGGTCCTACCCTGGTTTTTTTGGTTCTCTACTTGAAAATATGTTGAGGCTTACTATGTACATTAGGCAAGGCAAAAGGTGAAGTAAGGTAAATCACCAATA